CACCCCCCCCTTGTGAAAAAAGGCCGCCGGTGCCTTCCTTTCCCATGAAGAAGAGAAGAAGCTTGAGGCTCGCGTGAACACGCTTCAGTTTTCTTATTCTTTTCTATAGACGTGGGGAAAAGAACAGCCGATTGTGTGAAAAACCCGGTGCCTGCAAAAAGGGACATTGGCCGTCCCGGCGAAGGTGCGCCAGGGAGAGCACTAATCGCTGAACCAGGAGACAAATACGATTACCAGCTCCGAGCCTTGAGTCAGAAAGTCTCATAGACTTTAAGATGTTAATCCCCAACATAATCCTTCCTTTGGCGTGTAGGAATAGTGCAGCCACAAGAGTTGTTTTGTTATTTATATTGGCGTTTAATAAAACTCAGCCAGTGGTGAATGGGCTGCCCACTCTCCAATGGTAATTAATTCCCTATTTCAGTGACCCAATTGTGCTGGGATAGAGCAGTGGGACAGTCCCACTGCCCCAACCCGCCTTTGTGCAGCTACACGGCTCTCGTGCTTCAACAGCTATGGAAACTCATTCTTTTGATGTCATTCAATGAGTTTTCCTTGGGCATCTTCTAAACTTCAAGGACCCTTTTCTTTCTCCAACGCCTGAAAAGCAGGACTAGCTTGACCACCTCTGTAGAATTTAATGATTTGGTGAAAGGGCCTTTTTTGGGGGGTTTGAGTTAAGGAAAGAGAGAAAGAAAATTTGGCAGGCTGCTATCAAACAGGGGGCTATCCAAACTCCAGCGCACCAAACTCATTCAGCTCCTAATTTATACGAGTCTTAAGAGCCGCTCTTCCTTACTCAAAATACTTTGGGGCTTCTCCAGACCCAGGCGTTTGTGGAAGGGATTTTTCAGTAAAGCAGATACTCTGTTCCACACACACCACAAATTCCATCCAGGCCGCGCACGAGCACCAACGAAATAAATCGGGTTTTAAGAAGGCATTTCCATCTGCCCAAGGGAAAATATAACAATATGATGCCCAGAATCGGTTGCATTTTTGTTAAAAAGCACGTGGGGGGCTTTATCTTTTGGCTGCTGGGCAGAGCCAGCACAGGTAGCGGGGAAGTGGCTGCGGGAGGAGTGTGTGAAAGGAAGAACAGGGAGCAGTAACCCTGCAACGTCGTCCCGGCACAGGCAGCCCCTTCTATGTCTTTATACACACTTCCAAAAAAAAAAAAAAAAAAAAACCCCAACCAACCCACCCCAAAAAACCCCTTCGCAAGTCACAAACAATTCAGGATTCAACTAAGAAAACACAGAGTGAACCATATGGCCGGGGTGGCTCGAGTTGGCTGCATTTTCCCCCAGACAAAGAAGGGATTGAGAGTTGAAGGAAAGGAGAAAAAAACCAACTTTCCGGCTGATGAAGCTGTTGTCTGGAGGCAATGATCCCAAATCTCAAGGCTTTATTCCAGGCTCCGACTGAGACGTGATATGTCATATGATTAGCATCTTTCATATTTACAAGAGTAGTATGGGCTGCCAGTCTTTAGAGAAAGGCGAGAGAAAGAAGGGGCATATGCTGAAATGGATTTAGCATTTGAAAGAGAGAAAAGAGAGCGGATAAATACACTTAAACGAGGATTTAGTTTTACTCCCGTTGAGTTCTAATGGGTTGTTGATTGAGATTTTAGGGAGCTGTAACAGAGGTGTCAGCAGTAATTTAAAGGCGCTATTCAACCCTCCGCTGCTCCTTCTTTTTCCCCGCTTCGCTCCTATGCGCCTCTCGCCGCCCCAGCCCTTCTCCGCGGTCCCTCCCGGTACCCATGTCCCGCCCGGTGTCGATGTCCCTCTCAGCGCTGATGTCCCACCCGCTCCCGGGGTGCCTCCCGGTACCGCGGTCCCGCCCGGTGCCGATGTCCCTGCCGGGAACCCTCCCGGTGCCCATGTCCCCTCCCGCTGTCCCGGTCCCGGTCCCCGCCGGGCGCGGGCTGAGGGCGCCACCTGGCGGCGACGGTGGAACCCGCCTGGCTCCAGCTCTGCCCCGGCCGGTTGGAGCCACGGGCAACGTTAAAATTAACAATTTTCGATGTGCTTTTCACCTGTCAGCAGGGACACCTCCCACTAGAGCAGGTTGCTCCAAGCCCCATCCAGCCTGGCCTTGAACACCTCCAGGGATGGGGCAGCCACAGCTTCTCTGGGCAACCTGTGCCAGTGTTTCACCACCTCATAGAAAAGAACTTCTTCCTGAGATCTCATCTAAATCTCCCCTCTTTTAGTTTAAAACCATCCCTCCTTGAGTCAAGCCTGAGCTGTGATTTCTCAAGGGAGAGGAATGCAGGGTTATGGCTCGTTAGGAAGGGTGACTGCCACGCTGGGGACGGCAACTTTTTAAGAAACCTGGCCTTTTTGGCCAACAGCAAGAAGGTGTCAGTACTCACATGTCACAGGCATAAACTACTTTTTTTTTTTTTTCTTTTTTTCCATCCAATGAATCCCTTGGAAACAACTACCCTTTTGGATCAAAACCAGAACAACATCCATCTTCTCCCCACCATTCATACACTCACCGCTGAGCCTCCTCTAGACATCTCTGAGAGCACCCACAGCAAAGATGATCGAATGTCTTCTCCTGTCAGAGGGTTTCTGACACAACAGCTCTGTTTCCAAACCCAAAAATCATTCCGCTTTTTTGCAGATTCAAAACACAGCTGAGTGATCTTATCCTAAAACCTGTAAAGATCCAGAGACAAGTCAATCTGTTCTCGCTTTATGTTCATGTAACAAAGATTTAATAGACCAAGGACGAATATTTCTTTGAAGAAATGACTCTGTGTTTTATATATCCTTTTAGTTGTTTTAGCCCTTTACAAATGTCACCCATTTGTAAATATGCAAGATGACAGAATTGTTCCAAGATAAGATATATGTCTAAATCTGAAGAATAATGAAACAGTAATGCTAATATTAGATACTTTGCAAGCATAAAAGGATTTCAGTTATCCAGCAGATAGTTACTTTATTCATTTTTAGTCATACAAACAAGAAGTCCAAACAGAAGTGTCAGTACACTGAGATACAAATAAAAATTTCCCACATTAAATATAAATATTAAAAAAATATCAGAACAATTGCAATTTATTAGCACAATTCATGTTCTTGATAAAACAGACGCACGTTTTAGGTTTCCTTTTTCTTATTCTGTTCCTCTTCTTTCCGTTTCTCCCAATAACACTTGAGAATGTCATTTAGCTGCTGCTCACACTGGCTTCCATGTTGCAATCCATTTTCCCATCCTAAAAGCAGCAATAAACAGGATAATGACATCTCCCCTTTACAGCATCCATCACGCAATTAGGCTGTGGTGATGCGAACATCCATTTCCCCCGAGCCTATCAAATAGCTGTAATATTTCTGCTTGGAAAAATGTTCTTCCTCAGAGTTTGACCACTAACAAGGTGCCTCTTTTGATGGCAACTAAGCAGGTAAATGAAATAATTACTCCTTTGGCACCTATTCTTGCAGTGATCTGTTGATCAGTGATCACAGGAACCACGGGGCGTCCTGGGGAGTCAGATTCAGCCAGAGTTTACTGGAATGTTCTGGGGAGATTTGGACACTGTTCCATCTCTCACTTCTCTAGTTCAAAGAAAGTCACCACGGAAGAATTTATGATGAAATGTAATTAACACACTGAGATATGAGCTGTGCTGTTTCAAAGGGGACTAATTCAAGTGCCAACTTGGAACTCTGCCCTCTCTCTCCCAATATGCACATACCCCGGAGAGGAGGGAGATGCACAGAACTAGGGGGCTGTTCAGGCATTTTAAACCCCTCCTGGCAAAGCTGCCAGGGGTAGAGACAGGCACCATAAGGTTTTTTGCTTTGTTTTTCTTACGCAGCATTAGCTTTCAAATATGTAAACGCTCAGTTGCAGTAGATGTCACAGCAAATATGTGCAACTGTAAAAAACTCATTTTCAAAAACTATTTCCCTCTGTGGTCCAATAAAACACACACCTGTATTCACAAGAGAGTGACCTTTAAACAAATCGATCAGGAATTACTTGGTAGAGTTAACTGATCTCCAATGGCGTCGTTATTTTTCTGTCACCTCAACATTTGTCTACCAAAACCAACGAGCCCCTAGTTGCAGAAAGACCCTATGCATTTTTCTTTAAGTGCTACCTCTTCAGAAATACTGCTGTAAAGAAGAATTTGTTTATAACTGGTTTCTGCAAACATGCAGCTTGCACACTTGCAAATACTTGCATTTTCCTGCAATATACTATTTTTATATGTAATAAATACACTGCTTTATATAGTATGCATACTGTATACTTTCTATATCATATAGTATATATACACTATAATATAATAAAGGGTATTATACATAGTTTCATTAAAGGAGGCAAGCTGCATGGTTTCAAAAATACAGAAAGAGAAAACGTTACCTTTGCAGTGATGAATCACTCTTCCCCACAGTCTGTTCTTACTTAAACAGGCCAGATTTCCAACAATCAACAAGTGCCTCTTTGCTCGCGTTAGTGCAACATTCATTCTCTTTTCCGAGTCTATGAACCCAATTTGCCTCGTTCTTACACAGGACAAAACAACGATCTCCTTCTCAGCTCCCTGGAACGCGTCCACAGTGGACACCTGGACAGCTTTGGTTTCCACAGCCTCAGCGTGGATGCCACCAAGCAGATCGTGAATCTGTAGGCACATGAACACGGAGGGTGATGGGTTATGGCCACTCACAGGCAATCACTCGTCTCCAGCAACTGCACCCAACAAATCTGAGCCTGCACCAGAAGAGAATTGAGAACACGCAGGGAGCAGCGTGAGTCCAACCTCAGCTGATCACCTGGAGACCTCACCTGGAGCACTGTGTGCAGGTCTGGAGCCCTCAATATAAGAAGGACATGGACCTGATGGAGTGGGTCCAGAGGAGGGCCACAAGGATGATCAGGGGGATGGAGCACCTCTGCTATGAGGACAGGCTGAGGGAGCTGGGGTTGTTCAGCCTGGAGAAGAGGAGGCTCCAGGGAGACCTAATAGCAGCCTTCCAGTACCTGAGGGGGCCTACAGGAAGGCTGGGGAGAGCCTGTTTACAAAGGCCTGTAGTGACAGGATGAGGGGAAATGGCTTCAAGCTGGAGGGGAACAGATTTAGACTGGAGATTAGGAGAGGGTTCTTCCCTGTGAGGGTGGTGGAGCACTGGAGCAGGTTGCCCAGGGAGGTGGTTGAGGCCCCTTCCCTGGAGATATTCAAGGTGAGGCTCGATGAGGCCCTGGGCAACCTGGTCTAGTTGGGGGTGTCCCTGCTGACTGTGGGGAGGCCGGACTAGATGGCCTTTGGAGATCCCTTCTGTCCTGGACGATTCTATGATTCTATGATCACGGGAAAACACTGTGCCACGAACCTGCATTTGACCAACCCCTGGTGCATTCACTCCGTGTGGCGAGCGCTGCTTTCGCTCACTGGTCACAGCAGCCCCCGTCACCTCAGCTGCCCGCGTGAGGGGCAACTCCAGCCTCGCCGAGCAGATGCCTCTGTTACCTCTTCTTGTCACACCTACCAGTTTGTAACGGCCCCTAATTAATTTATGAAATTGGTGCACTATTCAATTTGCCAATTTTCGGAGTGTGCATGTGGAAAGAAAACAAGTGGAAAGATTTTTATTTTTTTTTAACCATAGGTTTGAATTGAAAGATTTTGACTAATTTTAGAGGATAAAATACAGTGCGTTGTTGTTTTGCAGTTGGTTTTTTTTAAGAAGAGAAATTATGGTAGTCCAGTTTACCTATCCAGCATTTGCTTCTCACTTGTAGTTGACTCCTCCTAATTGAAATGGAGCCTATGTTTAGAATAAACAAAATACATTTAAGGAAATTGTTTTATTGATGACAGATCATACAAACCTTACACATCTGTGATTTATAAAGAGTAATCACACCAATTGCTGATCCTTCAATTCCACTGGCAATCAGGGCCTGGAGGAGCTTGACTGTGAAATGAACTTCTGCCATGTTGTAAAAGCTGTTGTCTCTTTCAATCTGGAAACAGGGAAGAAGATTTCCAAGTTCACTCTCACAAACAGCAGAACGCAAACAGAAATAAAACGGAGGAAAAACTACGATATTGATCTTTTATATAACAAATGTTTAAAAACTTACTTGCTCTACCCCATTAACACTATAAAAACATAGTGTTGGAAGCCAATCCAATAAAGGCCTTCTGTCTTCCTCAGAAACACCGTCTATCAGATGTCCTTCATAGAACAGCTCGTTGGCTATGGCACTAATAGCAGGGTGACATCGGTACTGTGTCCGAAGAAGTATTGGTTTATGTCCCTAAAGAATTATGATATAGAAAGTGTGGCTAGGAAAATTATTTTGCAATGCCAGCTAGGACAAACAAGAAAGAAGTAAGCTGGGTTAACCTTCATATAGTCACTTTAACACAATTACTGTAGCCTCTGATTCTTCTACCTGGATTGAAAACTGCACATAAAGATCAGGAGGCAGAATCTGTCATTGTTTATCAATCCATTCTTGTCTTATGCTTGTTACGCTTACAAATTTCCATGCATTGTGAAAACAACATTCACAGAGAAATGCTCTAGAATGGAATCTTCTTAATTAAAAACCAGGCTGAAACAATGACTCTCTGAGATCTAAACCAGAACTCTTTTAGTGACTTCAGTGGACCTACAGTTTCACCCTCTGTCTTGTCTAAGGATGCAGTCAGTAGCACATACCATTAAGCAAAGCCGGTCAAAGAGAGTCTGCTCCAATCCCTTTTCATGAACACTCTCAGACCCTTGAATAGTTGGTGGTAATTGCTTGGGGTCCCCAACAAGGACTAGCTTTTCACACTGAAACCTAAGTAAGAATGTTAAAAAAATAAGGAAAAGAGTTCTAAAAAGGATGTCAAACTACTCATAATAAAAGTGTGTGCTGTGTTTGGATATCACACATTGCTTTCCACCAGGCTCCCTCCTCCATCACCCTCTTTCCACAGTCAAAATAACAGGGTGACTCAAGGAAGGCACCTAAGAGCAGGCCTCAAATTTAAATTACTCTGGTTGCTTTCTAAGGTGAAACATCAGAGTTCATATTCTTAAAAAGACATGCAAGTTTGGCAATTATTAGAGGCTGTGTCACTGCTAACCAGAAGTTATTTCTCTGCTGAAGCACAAAAGGAAAGCTGTACCTTGCAATAGGAAGGAGAGAAGCAGGTTCAGTCATCTGACTGCACTCATCCAGCATCACCACGGGGAACTTCAGAGTATTCAGGCAAGGGAATGGGCAGGCAGCACATGTCACTCCAACCACTTTAACCTGTGTTATTAGTGAGGGCAAGAAGTCAAATCATTTAATAGCTAATCTCTGTGAGGCACATGACTATAGCTTCGGCAGTAGAATACAGCTAAATTAATTTTTAGCATTTCTACTGCATGCTGTGTCATACTCACTGGGTCTCAAAAAATTATATTCTAACTTCTATTAAAAGGCACTGTGTGTGCATATTCTAACTTCTATTAAAAGGCACTGTGTGTGTGCACGGAGATGGATCCAAGGCTACTATTTCTTATGCTTGGGGTGTTTATATGTTAGAATCATTCCCAGATCCACGTATTTTAAGACCAGACCCACTCTGGTACAGAGAGAGTTCAGATTACAAAATCCTCCAAAAACTGCTGAGCCCCAAGTGGCAAAAGTGGTGGCAACAACCACTAGGAATAAGCACAAGAAAGAAATTACTTAGATCTGCTTTGTCATTGCTCTACAACAAGCTGGGATTTTTTGGGTGTAGGACTGAAGAGAAAAGGCAAATAACTGGAAAGACTAGAAACTGAGAAGATTTTTTCTACAGGAAGTAGTAATCTTAAAAGGCATATACTTTGATAAAAATTTGCTTAAAATATATTTGACATCTTCTTGGCAGTTGATACTCAACTCAAGGATAGATATACCTCAGTCCTTATCTTTTTACCTTTATGACTATACAAATCTTAGTTTCAAGGTGACAGTGCAGTTGAGCTGTGCTCAGAAATTGTTCTTTCCCCACCTTGTAAACTAGACTGGTAACACTAAATCAGATGGCAATAAAATTCAAAAAGGTTTTCTGTCTCATGTCACTAAACAGGAACTGCAAGTGCAATTCAGAGGAGTCATACACAGATAAGACACTAAGCTATACCTGGGGAATCAAACCCATCCTAATCCTAACATTTGGGTTTTTTTTCAAATCTTTAAGAGCGTGGCAGGTGTGAGAGGGGATTCCCAGTTCCCGTTTGCTGGGCCTTGTGGATAAGGCATAGAGAATCTCCAGTTCCCCATCCCCTCACTGTGACCGTACCTGTTGCAGTATAGTTTTATTGGTCCCCAGTTTATGTTGCTCAATACTCTTCCTTACGTATATTTTTTCAACCGGAGTCAAGTCTTCTTTCATGAGAGCAAGCAGCTCTTTTAACTGCTCATTTTCATTTCCTGAGCCAGCATGCAAACTTCAAAAAGATTTTATAACATGAATTACAATGACTGAAAACAACAATGCTTTTGGTGCTCAGTGAACACCCAATATAGACAAATGATCCTACTTTACACATAAGAATGTAGTAGCCTATCCCAAATCCAGCTGAGATAGACAAGTATAATACCTGCTATAAACCAGAACTTTATCCCACCAGCTCAGACTCTACCACTCCAACCAGAGACCTCCATGTAGTAAATGACTTCTCCAAGTACACGGCTGATTTCAGGGTGAAGTAGAACTGAGAAGTTTTTCGTTCTTGTACCATTTTATACCCGTGCTATGCTACTGACAGCAAGGAATGGAAATCTAATCATTATTCATCTTGAACTTTACTTCATTCTCTCAAATTGTGTTGAAAGTACTATGTAGATTGCTTGCTTTTAAGGAAAGGAACAAACCCCAGAACGCTACAGCAGAGGTAACTTGGGTTAGTACAGAATTCATGAGTTGTTACCGTTAATTGTCTGAAGATTAATTTTACAATTACTTCCTGCTAATTCTTATCACTACAGCAGTACACACCTATTTCTGTTTTGCATTTCTTCCTTGTGTAAACTCCCAAATCTGTTGCTGCCATTATTTCCTTCTCCTCTACTACTTTCCGTTTAAAAGCATGAACTCTATCCAGCAACAAGTGACATTCCCAAATCAAGGTAAAACTTCTCCACTGTGCAGAGGGCAGGGAAAAACCCTGAGACAGGCATATTACATTTGAATGACTTCAAAATAGTAATTTTTACAGTATGCATACTATCGTGAATCTTAGAACCACCTCAGATCCCTCAAAGATTAAGATTCTTACCTATGGGGAAGAATTGCTTTGGTGATTTTCCTAATACTTCCCACTCTGATAAAATCCTCAAATCCGAGATCAAGTAGACTTCAAAGGAAAAGAGATGATACATGTTACAGAAATGTAAAAAGAAATTTTGAAAAATTTAAAAGAGGTTCTAAAAAGGCTAAGAGACACATCAGAACACCAAAGACCACAAACTTCTGCGATTAATCAGAGGAAGTAACTCGGGTCACAATTCAAGTCAACCCAAGTAAATTACCTCATCATGATTTGTCTCAAAAACGCTTAATGCATTTACGATTCTACTCCCATTAATAATCTTCCATTTGTACTTTCTCTTCCTTCCCTTATCCTTCCAAACCATGAGTTTCATTTCGTATTAGCTTCAACTGAAGCTTCCCAAGTCTGACACTCTCTGTATCTCCTTATCCATCCCTCCTTCCCCTACCCCTGCTGCTACTTCCCAAAGCTTCCTGAGCAATCCTACTGGCTGTCATGATGGATCACAATGGTAAATTTGATGAGAAGAGCCCAATATTAGTCTCACTTAAATTTGCACAGCTAGCCTTACACACTCCTTTAGCATATGCTTACTGTGCAAAGGAACAATGGTAAAATGAAAGCTCCTGTGGAAATACCAACACAATTAATTTTACCATTTAAATACATTATTGTTTTTAGAACAATACTCTGTAAAAATCTCAGTAACATACCCCAGCAGTATCCTGTCAACTGCAACGTTAGTGGAAGAAGCAATCAGAAGCTTCCATGGAGTTGGCCTTGGACCCTCTGTAGCTTCACTGCTTTCAAAGAGCTGCACCAGGAACAAGATCACAACAGAGAGCAGATAGCTCTTTCCAGCTCCAAAAACACCTGATAATTTGGAAGAAAAAAACAGTCACAAGCAGAAACTCTCTAGACAGCACAGTTTTAATCAATTGGTATAACTTGTTTATCTTTTGAAATAGTACGCTGTGATTCCTGCTTGCTTCACCAGCTCTAAGTATCCAAGGGCAACCAACTGGCTTCACTTCATATTTATTACCTGCATTAAGTTTACAAAAAAACTACAGAAGAGGAAAAGCGAAGGTATCTTTCCTAAATTTTCTGGTTAAACACACACATTACTTCCTAAGGAGTCTCATCAATACATTGCACATCCCTCATACCATGTCCTCAGATACAGAATAAGGAATTTCAGAGGTTATTATTTTGGAATGACTAGTAATTCTAAATAAATTAATGTGCCAGACAGCCTAACAAAAGCTCAGACAATTTAAGTCTAGTAGTATCTGTACTAAGAGTGTCATTATTGTAATGTATTTACTTTGATAGGATCTGAAAGCTTATGTTTATGATAACTGCTTCCCAATACTGATTTAAAAAAAAAAAAAATCAAGTCTTTGAACTGTTACTAGCCTTTTGGTACATGCTGAAAAGTGGTAAAATAAAGATAGAGGGAAGTATAAAATAGCAAGCTAACGGCTATAATAAAAAAAAAAAAAATTATGATAATTTAGCAAAGCTGTTGCATGACAAAAATTGTTTTTCATATGAAAAGAAGACACAAAGTATCTCTGATTTTGTACATAGATCTTGCTAGGAAAATCCTCCAAAAGGCAGGATGCAATTTCAAGGATTAAAAGCTCTGTGCTGATAAATTGGATGTTACAATGTCAAGGTCATTATCAAAGGGTCTCATCCTAAAAAAGAATTTCCAAGAAATGCATGAAGCAGGCAAGGGCAGCAGCATCACAAAAGAGTTTAAAAGGATATTCCATACACAGAGGCAGTTTATTCGAGCTCATCTTTCGTGCCCCATCAAAAATAAGTCAACATTTACCTAGACATGAGAATCTCCCTTTAAATCTGCATGGAATCATGAATATATGATTAGGGAAACAAGTCGACTGTTTCATCACTGAGAGAATTTAGGGACATTTCACTAACACTTGCGTTAGATATTAATTATCATTTTTGCAAAGATACAATAGCAGCAAATTTGACAATTGTTTACTACATACCACGTATGATCGTGATAGGGAAGTTCTGATGTTCTTCCTCTGGTTTGGTATTTCCACATGAGGTCATCATCTGAGCTATCTGAATCAGTGACGTAGCTTGATCGGGGTTCAGCGAGAATGCTTGGATCATCTTTTCAGCTAGTGCCATGGCCACCTCTGCGCTGACCGGTCCATGCATCATTGTGGGCTTCAGGCTGATGGCAGGTGGAATGAACTTTCTTCTGTTGACTCTCTTAGTAGTATTTTCAGAATCAAAATTCCTAAATAAAAATACAATGGTCAAAAGTTGCAGTATTAATACTGCATATGTATAATTTGTATCTCACGGTTCCGATATTCTTACTCACCTGACATTAAAATGCTGAGGCTTTATGATTAAGGACCAACATAATTACAAGTTGCTGCCCCCTGCACCCCAACATACACCTGAGCTGTATATTCCTGCTCCCTATCGCTTCCCCAGGTGAAAGCTGGATCATATGAAACAGGCTTTTGCGGTTTATCATTCCTGCTGTGGTCTAACGCTTTCAGTCTGACTTACTGCCAGGCAGCAAGACTGACAGAATTAAGAGCAGCAGAAAAAGTCAGTCAGAGGTAGTAAGGATTCATTTAATTACTTGTTTTAGGCAGTGAATCGCAGGCAATCTTGGAAATTGTGGTTGGACTCCATGACCTCAAAGGTCCCTTCCAACCATGAATATTCTGTGATTCTGTGATTACTCCAATCATCCAAAAATATTTTATCTTTAGGTTTTGTATCAAGTGACTCTAAAAATATGGAAGGAAAACCAATTCCATGGAACTGCTGTGAAGCACATACATTAACTTAATACAGATCAGTCAGCGACTGTACTATCAGGCTACTGGTCAGAATAAGGCCCAATATTAATCTCTAGGTTGTAAAACATGGGCTGCAGGGAAGTTTTCAGAAAAAAGAAAAAACAGTTAGAATCCCTGGCTTAGAATTAAGCAACGGATACATTTTCATTTCAATACAAATGAAAATTGCAATGTCAACAGTTCATTCCTGGCACTGTTTTTCTGATCTTAGTTTTCCTCATCCACTTTTTAATAGGATAAACCCAATGGTATTCTTGTTGGTATTTCTTTTTTCTGTACCTATTGACATATTGTATGTTCACAGTATCACTGAAACACTTACATTTCATTACAGTAATGAAAACTTACATTTTTAGTAGATATGGTATTAGTGGTAACGTAGATGGATTGAAGTGCTCCTCCATATTTCTTAAAGATGTAAGCTCACCACTAGCATTACCAACCAGCAAGGCATGAACACACGCTGAAAAGGCCACAGAAAAATACAATCAGAAAAAAACCCTAAATTAGCCAATATTTCAAATCAGCTAGATAAATTAATTAAAAAAAGCCAAAAGAGTAACTAGCCTCCTGTAACAGAAACCAAATTAACCCAATTACCATCTCTGACTGAATATTATAGATGAGTAGAGATCTATTAGCCCTTCTTTTCAAGGTGCATTATTTTAAAGTATTTGTGATTCCAACATTAGAAGCCTTCTGGAAAGGAAGCTTAGATAACAATTATTACTCATTTTAAAAACACTTGAGGCGTTTAGGAGTTGAATTTTCTAAGTAAACCATCTGTATCACAATAGCTAAACAGATATTTTCTTAAGAAAGACAATACAGGAACATAACCCCTCCAACCGGGCAGACCCAAGTTCCACCTAACCTATTTCCAAAGTATACAAAAGTGGATGCCTAGAGAGAGTATAGAACAGAACAACTATTCAATTGTATCTTTCTGAACTCACTGCCAGCTTCCTATGGTGGTTTCCCCCAATTCTGAATTATGTGGTATACAACTTACTATTTGATCTCCAGTTTGAGGGGCAGTAGCCTTTCAGTGGTAGTAATTCTACTTCATTGTTGGAGGATGGTCCAAAGAAGGCACTACTTGCAATGAAAGTATCAACGGGATCAAAGTTCAGAGTCTTTGAAACAACCCAAATATCATCTGTAAAAAAATAGAGAGTTCTCATAGGCTTCTTCTACTGCTGTCTTTTAGAAGAAAATTAAGTTGGACAAAATAGGCCAGCATTTCCTGCTGTAAATTAAACTACTAATAACATGAAAGTAAAGAATATCAGAAAGTACTAAATAAGTGTTGGTTCCTGTCTAAAATAATGAATACATAACTTGCAATTCTTCTAGTACTTAATGTTTGAAATTGATGGTAATTGTCAAGTTGTCTCTGGGTGCACTTAACAGCATTTGACAGATCTGAAGTATTATCAATTTTGAGAGTATATGGAACAAATCACCGAAGTTTACTACTAATCTAGTTAACACTCTTTTGCCAAAGAATAGCAAGTACTGAAATAAACATACATTTTCCCTTCCCTTTCAAACCCAACACATGCTGGAGCCTGCAACTGCTCTATTTGGCACACCTGTAGCGGCTCACAACGCTATTCCTACACCATATATTCCAGAGCACAGCAAGGGAGATTTCAAATTTAGGAGCAATAATGGTGCAATATATTTGCCTGTAGCAAAAATGATCAAAAAATTGTCATACACAAATAAAAGTTTTCCCTAGGCAGAGCCTCAGAATTTAAAGTTACAAACCCCTGGTTTGTCAGAACATTTCAGAGTCTGTACATAAAGTGTGCACAAATAACATTTGTTTCTGCCTTATTCCCTTTATATCATTTTCAACAGCAAAGTGAACAATCTATGAAGATATGGGTACCAATTCAAAAATCACTGAAGTGAAATGAACTATCGAGACTCTAGATTACAAATTAAATCTTTAAAAGGCACAACGTGACACGGACAATTTTTCTGATGCTTAAGATTTGTTTACCTTTGCTATAGAGAGAATAATGCTCCTTTCTGCTTAGTTTGAGGTATAATTTGTTTTTGGAATCAGCTTCAAATCTGGCAGGTGTATTCATAAATTTCTTGAACTTACTACACCTCTGTGTTTGCATTTCAAAGGCTTTCCTGTTAAATTGTAATTTTAAGAAAAAGTATGTAAGCAATTGGCACATTTTGAATTCACCACCAAAAATAAGAAAGCTCCTCAGATTAGACCAAATTATACAACATTGATCTTGGTGGCCGTTCAACATCTTACATTAGCAAGTTTTAAATACATTTATCTTGACTGCAAAATAATTCTCTCATATTCAGCCATAAGCAAATAGTTTTCCCTACGATTAAGCAGTATAGAATAACCTTCGATACAACTTTTAACACTAAAATTAGAATCACTAAGGGAATAAATCAAATTCCCTTATGAAAGATTAAATGAACAGCAATTCAAATGCAACAATCAGAAGGGATTCCATTAAGCAATTGATCAAGTAAGCAGTTTTGATTCTTGCTGAAAAGAGTGCCGACCTGAAATGTCATTGCTGTGAATATTATTCCTTCACTAATTTGGCTTTTGCATTTCTACATTGAATTGGAGCCTCTTTAAACACAGTTAGTGAAAGAGACTGTTAAATGCTACTGGAATATTCATCAACCCTGCAATTCACATAGCACCTGTGAAAAGTACATCGCGTTTCAGAGTACCTCACCAAAAGCTGGCATCCCTCATAGAGAGAAATCTTTTGACTTCTGAGGTAAGCCCCAATACTTTTTATATCATGAAGCACTACACTAGGTCTGGATTTTATCTGTGCAGGGTTCACGTCCTCTATCCACTTGAAAAACGAACACCGCTCAGCTTTAGGGGCATCACAGGCATAAAACAAGCGACCCTAGGAAGGGAGAGGGGGGAAAATAAAACCATTAGCATATTAAAACAAACAAGCAAAAAAAAAAGTTAAGCAATGGACCATTACTCCCTGCTATAGGAACAATCAGATAAACATCTGTGTTTGGCTGAAAAACTCAAGTGTGTGCCCAGAAGTCTCAGCTTCTGAAGCCAGTGTGCGTAATCATACCTTACAGAAATCCCATATAACCCACACAATTACAAAATCAGGTCTTTCTCTCCATGTATATAAAGCTGTTTCTGTATGGATAAAACTATTACATCAACAATTTGGGACACTTGATTATCTTGAAAGTGATTTCTATGAAACATCACTTCAACCTGCAACTCTAAATCACACAGAATTGCCCTGTAACTGTTCACGCCATAGGGCTTACACCCCAAACAAACACCCCAAACTGTAAACAAACAAGGAATAAACAGCACCTTGTTTTGACCTTCTTTTTTAACCGTAACAAGCTTAGCAGGATGCATGTGATTGCAGAGTAGGACGCAGCTTTCTTTGCTCTCACTTTGCCCATCTTTCAATGAAGTGTAAAATGATATATCCACTTTTGAAAGAGCATTGTGTAATCTTTGTGACAACTCAAATAGCATTATGTTTAATTGCTCTTGACATAGAAAGGAGAATAAAAGAGTAATTAGCACAACCTTAAAATGGTTACACAAGTACAAAAAAAATTCAAATACGTTTTCCCTTGAAACTTTCAATCCCAAATCTAAATCAAAACATTTAATGAGTCCTAAAAGAAACCATATGACCTAAAAAATTAATATATTGCATATGAAGTTATTTTTTTCTAACTGCCTTACTTTCAGTCACATCTAAGTATGAGACTCCAAATGATCCAAACACTAAATAATCATACGTTAATAAATCCACCCCAAAACCTTAAATAGGAATCTAAAGACTAGTAAACAGGCATAAGGTTACACAGTTAAACAGAAGAGTATTCGTCATTTGGTGTCTTTGCATTTTTGCGTATAGACTGAATATATTTGGGGGTATATATCCAAAACCAAATCCACACAGGGATTTCAACAGATGATGTTGATGATCTCTCTCTCCCTCTCACCCTGCTTTTGAAACTTCAGAAATACATAGTTTAAAAATGACAGCATTTGACATAGCGTGGTGTTAGACGTACCTGTCAGAGCGGCTTTAAAAATCTGTTTGTAGTGAACATAAGACTGAAACACAGTTGGTATGGAAATCTTTCGTTTAGGAAGATCAGTGAATTTTACTTTATCCACATTAGGAAAAGACAACTCAGAAATTGTTATGGCCTAAAAAAACCAGAAGAATAAATCATTAAAGCTTGCAAAACCCCTGAATGAAACAAGTTTGAAATAAACAGCTACAGCACATATTATGCCAAAACCTATCAAATTTTGTTCTTTTTTTCCTTTTTTTTTTTAGATATATTGTGCTCTCATTAATAAGTACAACTAAACAGAAAAAATTCAGGGCCTCATTCTGCAACCAGAAGTTTCAAGATGAAGACTAGCAAAATAGAAATCCCATTCACCAGAAATGGTTGCAGACTTCGTTAACTGTAAGTACAGGAGCATGAAATCAATAGGACTGCCAACAGGAATAAAATTAAATACACCTGGAGGTACAGCATAGAGAGCTTGGACTGCCATTTGGGATATACCATGAAGTTCAAATTTGCCCCTTGACAAACAGCCTGTGTTTATGGTAACACAGCTAATGCCTTCAAAGGCTTATGAGTAAATGATGTAATTTAGAGTCATGTTTTCAGCCCTAGCTGTGGGGACGGAGCACACAAAACTCATTTTTAACCACATTTCTGCACAGAAATAAATCCAACAGATGAAATTATAATAAAGGTCATAGAAAGAAGACAACCAGACTAGAGAGCTTTGGGGAAAGTGTGAATTCCACAAGCTACCACTGTGCCCACCATCCCAGCCAGTCCCGAGGAGCTTCTTCCACCCAGCTACACTGCAATGGGCATCATCATGATAACCCTCTTCAGAAGCTTTTTAAAATCCTATATAGATGGATTATACATATATATGTATGTGTGTGTACACACAGCATATACCAGTGTGCATATGAAACATACTAGTTATTTCCACACCTCTATTTCACATGAAATTTATCGTACAAAGGTTGTTAAAGAACTAGAGAACACAGCACACTAAGTTTGTCTCAAAAAAAAAAAAAAAAAGAAAAATCTAACATTTTCATTAACTCTCGAACATAGCCATTTGACAACCTTTAAAACCTGACATGTGGTTGGTTTTGTTGGTTTTTTCCAATTTACTCCACTTGTTTAAGACAGTCTACTGGTCACAAAGAGCTGTGCTAAATTTTTAGGTGCTTATTCAATGCCATAATTACTTTTCCACAATTAAAACTGAAGAAATTTAAAATATTTCAAAAATCAGAGACTATGCTCTGAAGCAAGATATGGGTGTTCATTAAAACGATGCTGATTTCACAATTAAGAAAAACACTTCTTGACAATACATTCTTACCAATTATAAATAATAAAACAGCCCGACAGCTTTTACTTCATCTTCCTGCCACCAATGTTAATATTAAAAATCTAAATCTGGCACTCTGTGTGCCAAGAAATTACCTTTACAAAGGATTAGTCACAGCACTTAAAAAAAATCTATTAGCAGCTGCTGTTCTGTAGCTGAGACTCTTGTGTTACTACGTATGTAAAAACATTTCATCCAATCGTACTGATAATATCTTGCAGGAAATCAGATAAATGCAGTTACTTTGTCCAGAAAAATGTGTTTGTCACTTATAACCGTATTTGCTTGAACAGTTACACACCTGGCCGTCTCCTGTTACACCGTGGCAGCTCAGATGACTTAACACCTTTTGTGTTGCTTCAGCCAAAGGTGTCTGACTTAAGTGCAGAGAAAGTAACTTCCTCTCTGAAATCAAATCTTGGTTGTGGGTATTTGCACAGCATTCACCCAGCGTGCTCTTTGCTGTCAGCAGAGGTGCCGAGCCGGGAGCACTTTTATCCACAGCCCTGCTCTCTCCTGTGTCACCCAGCAACATTCCAAGGACGCTCTCAGCGCAGGTGTCATCGGTCACTTCCCCATCATTGCTGTTTTGAGTTATCAAGTCACCCTGAGCACTGTTTTGATATTTTAGCCACTTGCTTTGTCTGGATTGTGAACTCGCATTAGGGAACGCCGCTTCTACGGATTTTCTTTGTCTGTCTTCTGTATCCTCTGCAAACACTGGGGTTTCATAATTTCTGTCCTCAGGGCCAAAAGCACTAATAGGAAATACCGCTGACTTATTGCTTAAATGGACAAAAGATTGCTGGACCTCCTCACTGTCAGTGGGATAGACTGTGTCAGGAATGGTCTCAGTGGCAGGAAGAGTGACAAATGGAGCTCGTGTTCTAACTGTGGGTTTGACTCTTGAGAGGTTGCTTTCCTCCGTATGGCTGCATCTCTCCTGTCCTGTGGGGCAAACACATCTTACAGGCAACTTGTAGCACTTACGGGTGGCACATTAACTCCACTTGTACAAAAAACTAGGATAAGGAAAGAATTCCAAATTCTTCCTTTTACATCCTGTCTTCTATCGGCAAGCTCTTTGTATCATGCCTATGCGGCACCACGTGAAATTTCCACAGGATATGAGGGATTTCAACAGTAATTCTTTTAATACTTAAATCCCTATATTCAGAGCACATTTCTGTAGACACTCTACTTGTCTAAAAGAAAACGTTTGGTAGAAATTAGTTAAACATTGTGTTTTAGAGGTCATTAATCTGATATTCTTGGTAAGTCAGTGACAGTTGCCAACTGGAAAACACATAGCTTAATATTTGTTCCTTTTTCCAGAAAGATCACCCACAAAACTGTGTAAATTAATATTAACCAATGTAGATAAATAGGCTTCTAGTACCACAAGCATCTTTTGGACTAAATTCACTATTAATAAAAGAAATGAGAGTCATTGTTAGGTGTCAGCTGGAAGTGGGTCATGAATATGGAATAAAACTAAAAGCAGGAAAATAAATGAAAACATTAATATGACTTAGAAGCTTAACTTACAGCCTTTTTTCCCCCCCAAAACTAGAAGGTTGTTTCGCTTTATGAAATTAAATCATTCTACTGAAGTCTCTTTTAGGAGAATATAATTGGTGGTGGGAGGCATGGAATTCAAGGCAATTCAGCTGATTTGGAAAACACTGTTTAAAATCACGCTTAAAAAAATAACACACACTCCTATGAAAAACACGTGACAAACAAGAACTCTGTTGTTACCCAGACATATCTCAGTGTATTTCAGCACCCAGGGTAACTGGCTATTATGGCACAACTCACTGTGCTTCAAAAAGCCTCAGAGATTTTCCAGCAAAAATATTGTAAAGTACAATTATAAACTATAATTGCTTACTGAAAAAAATATCTGAAAGTTCTGGTTCATTTGGCAAAATCCCATGTATCTGGGGCTCCTGGATGTCTCCAATAGATTCCTCACTTCCTGAAGGTGGAGAAATTGTAAAGTCTGGATCAAGTGAGGAAATCTGTTCTACTGATGGAATCGCCTACAGATGAAGAATTAAAATGTCAAGTGAAAGACTGGTAAAAATTTTGATTATAACTCTTTTGTCACTATTCTCTCTCTCATCATTCTAAACAATTGAAACGCCTCTCAGAATTAAGATAAAACAGTTTCAAAAATAATAAATTGCTGCTATGAACACACAGGAAATAAAGCTCAAAAGAGCAAGAACAGACAGTCAGTTCACACCTCGTCTGGTTCCCATGAAGTCCAGTGCCTGGGTCTCAAATCAGAACGTGAAGGTGAGTCTGACACTGTCCATGGTGGAACTTCAGAGCACACATTCAATGCCAACACTAGGAAAAATATGGGAAGGACAGAAGTCATGGAGAATAATTGTTCTGAGGCCTATCACTGCCATTCTACTTTTACTTTCACTTACGGGACTGATCTGTTCTTGACTCTATAATAACATTAGAATTCTTTTGAAAATTCTCTTCTCTGATGAAGTTGAGATCATCCTCATGAAGACTTCTTGAACCTGGAGACTTGAGCAAAAAGGTATAAGCAAAAACTTGTTAGAAATTAAAGTGTTTATCCTCTATATAAGTATTATCTTTGCATGAATCTTATTTCTAAGTATCTTATTCTAGATCATATTTCTAGATATAATTCTTTAGTATCCCTAGTCCATTCTGGAAGTAAAAAAATGAAATATCAGTTTCCTTTCATTATTTTAAATACTGAAATATATACTGCATTAGAAAAATTTTCTATCTTTAACACACTGCACATCATGTTTCTTTGCACCCAGGAGAAACAGAATCATAATCCAAGACAGAAAGTTTGCCCTTGCTTTGGAACCCTCTAACAATTATATACCAAAATTCAAATCCAGTTGAGGTGAATACTCTACTGCTGACACCAGGAAACAGTAATTACATTTTGCAAATGCCTAGTCCTATGACAAAGATGAGTAAAACTACTTTTAATCACAAAGCACTATGTTCAGTTCTTAGCAATTTTGATGATTGCAGTATTCTAAAAGTGAACTCTCTTTTGTCCCACATTTACAGGATAGTATCTTGCTTAGTAAGAATAACTTTGAAAAGAGTTTTTACCTGTCTGAAGTCAGAAAGGACATAACTGTGTGAAAACAGGGGTGACAAAAAGCTCTCAGCTGCAAACTCCATATTATTTGGGTACTGCTGCCATCCTAGCTGTGAGCAGGGAGCTCTCAACATTATCTCACCAGCTGCTGATCCCTTTACTTGGTGCCCTTGAAACGCAACAGGCTACGCGATATATTGGAGTTATCATTAACTGAAAATAACTATCTACAGCCAATAAAGGTACTTCTCATACATACAACAAAAATACAGTTGGAAACTCTGGCAGAGAAAAAAAATATCTACGCTTTTCTCTTTCTTTCTGTTGCATTTCTGCAACTCAGCAGCAAGAAAGTTTTTGCACAAATCTCTCAACAGAAAATTGATATCCTGATGTAGTATGTTTAGTCTTATTTTTGTATTATAAAATTTGAGTTCAAAACTCTCAGTGGAAAACTACCCACAGGCAAATGTACTAAAAAGTGGTGAGAAGCCCATTATGAGAATGGTTAAATATTAGGACTTCTTTTAATATATTGCAAATAGTAAGCCATTGAATAGACATTTAAGAAACACTGTTCCATAGAAATTGTACCTTTAGTTGGCACTCAGATGTTCTAGGGTCAATTTGGGCCACTGCTATGGGTAGAATACATGCTTCTGTTTTCTGTGATAAATTGTCCACACAGTTGGGCTGCATAGAAAAGTGTCAAAAGCTAATTAGTCTAACAACTTAATAACCATTTAAAGTGAAAAGCTAAGATATATCTTGTACTTATACAAGAGAAAGCATTTTAAATTACGGCCTTTTTATTTGGAAGCCAGAACGATCCATGATAGGATAAGAAATTACATTTGCTTTTCAAATGGGACAGTAAAAAGAGAATAATTTAATTTAAAATCTTTCTTTCACTTTGGATGGGTTGAAAAAGACTAATAGCATTGGACAAAAAAAAAACCAATATGAAACATCAAGCACAAACAAATTTGCCAGTATATTTCAACCCAAGTGCTAAAATTCCTAAAGAAGCCATGCATTCAAAAAGATAGTGAAAGAAAGAAAAAAAAATGGTAAAAGATGGGGTAGGGAAGGAATATTCCAGACATACTAATGTGATAATAAACGTAAGTAAATATTACAATTCACATTAAGTTTCTTGTCATACATGTAGCCTCCTGAACATTCTTGGCAATAGGGTCTGCAAGAGGTCATCTTCTGTTTACTATCAGCTGCTTAGTCGATGCCTCCAAGCAATTTCTAGCTCTACCTCCATAGCTTTATGAAACAGGAATTTTATTCAAGAAGCCTGGTGGAAAAGGAATTTATCTTGTACAGATAGATATATGCAGTCAAAAATTGGTTACCATAAGGCTGGAAGAATCAAAGTATGAACAGGAAGATGCCTGCATACTTTCTGAGTAAGGCATTTCTGTAAAATCTTTTATAGCTACAAGAGATGGAAAAGCATAATAAGTTACAGCAGTAGTAATTTTCTTTACATGAAAGTATATGAATATTTTGCAAACCTTACCCATGCAAATAATCGCACAGTTAGGATTTAAGTGAACTAAAGCAAACAAAGATGCAGACCCAGAGCCCACACTGTTGCTTTAAACACTAAAAAAATGCATGATGGAACATTCATAACACATCACTCCAAAAGTATTATTTCTGAATATGAATTGTCTGGCAGGAGAAATAACAGCATAGAAGTTAAATATGTACAGCCATAGAGAATTTTAAAACAGAAGCTGACCTAACCTTCATCTTTCACAAGGGGTTCAAACATCTCTTTAGAAGTCTCTGCTTCATATAATATACTATTATTTTCCTCCATCTTTTGTAAGCTTTCTAATGCTGTGCTATGTTGTGTCAAAGCTCTCAGAAGGGCAATATTGTTTACCAAATCAGGAAGATCTGATGAATTTTCAGCCATTGCCGTGCCTTTCAGGCAATCCATTCCTATTCTTTCACCTTTGCAGGCTTCAGAAAAGGCATTTATGGTCCCTACATTTTCAAACTCAGTTTCACCTATTGCTGTTTCCTCTGGAGATGAATTGTCTTTTCCTAAAGGACAGACAAAACTTCTGGAAGTTAGAGCATCTTCCTCACTTGAAATGCCAAATACCTTTTTATGGTCTTCTGCAATATATTGGAATGAGCCAGAGCTAGGATCTGATTTTTGTGACAAAGCCAGCAAAGGACTACTTGGTTTAATGTCATCACACTCAGTACCCCAGAAGTGTTCTAAATTGCTATCTGGAGATTTTATGCATTCAGGCTGTGTAACATCTTCTTTGGTCCTTTTGCCCATTGCAGAAATCTTTCTGCTGGTAGAAATACATGAAATACTTTCAGTTTTCTCAAACATACTGGTTTCAGGGTGACAGTCATTAACATTTGTGTCACCAGGCAAAAGATTGCTCTTTATCCATGACGTGCCATTAATGGTATGCGCTGCACAGCCATCAGGATCCTTCTTATTGTTTGTGGCTTCAGTACTTAATTGACTTTCATTAATTTCTTTCACTTTGTGTCTATCACTCAAAAGTTCCACTTCGATTCCGATGTGGTTTGCAGAGTTTTCTGCAATTCCCCCTGTATCTGCGACACTGTTGTCACTAAGCTGAGATGGCATACCCTTAGTGGAGTGATTTCCATCGTTCTCTCCATCAAACGTTGAGCATTTGACTTCTTCGTTTTTACTCTGTGTCACTAATTCACAGCAAGAGTGAGGTCTCAGAGCAGCATTTTGTGCTACATCTTCTCCCTTCAAGCAATCCGGACTTTGGGAAAGCACGTCTCCTTCAGTGAACTTATTCATATCTGTTTCACACAGGTCTTCATTGTCTGTGTCATTAAAATCAAAAGCCTCCATTAGATTGAAGTTAACCTTCATAACCTGTTCGTCTGGACTACACTCTTTGCCATGCGTACTTAATTCCTCCTTTACAATTTCAATTTCAGTCAATGTCACATCCCCGGAGAGCTCAGGGTCATCAGGCACTCCTTCTGAGCTTTGCCTCAGCTGAAACTCACTTTGCAACTTCACAGGTGAATTCTCCTTAAGACTCACTGAATGCTCCCTATATCTGGAGAGAGGTTTTTCCAAGGTGATTGGACTTGCTGAACACAAAACGTCACTTGAAGATGGGACAAACTGACTGTCACTCATTCTATTTAAGGTGGATTCAGGCAGGAAGCAACTGTTTGTATGGTAGGGATCTTTTAAGTCTTGACTTAAACTATTTGCCTTTTTGCCACATCTCTGTCCTGGGACTTCTTGATCACAAGGTTGCTCAGCCGAATTTAGAAGCAGTTCAGCATTCCATTCCTTTTTACCGTTTACAGTTTCCTTTGCAAAAGGCAAGTGCTGCATATTCTGAATGAGTCTTTTGGCAGGGTTGCCTGAAAAAGCAGGTAGGATTGTGCTGTTTTGGTTATGTGAACTACCTGAGTTTTCTGATGCCTGAAACCTGGAAAGACACTCTGTGACTTCAGATGTTGTTTGCCCTCTGCATCCTTGTGTTGGTTTAGACTTCAGAAGAGCGAGTATCTGTGCTGTGCTCCTGATGTTGTGTGACGCTGCCCTGCGACCAGCTGCCTGACTACAAGATGTGGTGTGCCCAGCAATTAGGGAAGATTCTGGCTTCACAGTAGACCGATCAGGGTTTTGCTTCTCTGTTTCCTCACACCTGTCAAGAAATGGAGCTGAAAGCAGTGAGGAGAGAGACATGGGTTCTGTATCATTATCCGTACGTGCATCCTCGTGAAAGTCTATAGATAGATTTGGGTTTGCATCCTTCTTGCAAATTGTAGAAAATAATGGAGAGGTAATATAAAAATTGGATGGAAGAGTACCCTGACGCTGCTCAGATAAAGGCAATATTGTTGGGTTTTCTCCATCTTCCATTGTTGATATTTTCTTTTCAACTTGGCGTGGCCCTTGGAAACCCTAAAAGAGAAACTTTAAATTAATTCTACTCAGAAATCAACTTCATATTTTGTAATCAAATGCTGAAAATAGGGAACACTCCATAAAAGATATTCTAATCAAGTAGCACATGACTATTCCACAGGTGTATGGAAATAAGCGATAGCAATCCTGCTACACCAAGCAGCAGATTTATGTATGTTAACAACAGACATAACTTTTGAAACAAAGACATACTGTAAACTTCCTTTTCAAGCCAACAGAGAGATGTCTTGGAGTCAGCACACCAGATTTTACTCCATTTCTATCCATTGCTGGAGTTTCTGCTTTCTTTGGCTGATCTTCAACAGATTTTTCATTCACATTCACCGCTTCAACTGTGATCAAATATCGTTCACTTTCTAAACTATCGCCAGCATTCACCTAGAAAAGAGAAAGCAGCAGTGTGTACAAAATAGTGCTGTAAGGAACAATAACAGTCTTCTAAATAAATACTGTCTTTAAATATTTATATGTAAAAATTTCAAATATTTGCACATGGTATATCACAGTTGCCATATAAATACTTAGATTAAAATATGCATATACTAGAATGCATTAGCACTTAGCTTCAAGTTAAGCTTACATACTTCACTGTGATACTCTGCTTTTACCCAAAAGGAATTAAATTCCATAAATACTCTAATAAATCCTCTATGTTGGTTCTGGAAATATAATAAGCCATGCCAACAAACAGAAGGTCTTTTCACTTTCAATTATTTGCACTACAGCAGTCTTTCATAGGCACAAAAAGAAAAAGTACTATCTTCATTACCAAACAAGAGTTTGAAATGCTTCTCAAAACACAAACCATAATCATAAGAATAAAAAAAAAAATCCAAAAAAATATACCTGAGATTTTATAAAAATACTCTCCAAACATTGTCCTTTATCATCAAACAAGGTAGCCTGCAGTGAAAAAACAGAATTTTAAATAACTAATTTTATTTCACATGTCAACTAGATCGTCACCGACAGTCTAGCAGTAGCAGATGATATTAAATCCAACAGTATTAAACCTGAGCTGTTCACCTTATTTCCACCAGTTCTAATCTTCAGAATTCCATCTTGCCATGTCTTGGATTTTTTCATTTTTTGGTGAGTGTATAATACCTGTTTTAAATGTATAAAATGTTGAAATAATAATAAGTTCAAAAATATTTAAATGATACAGTAGTTATAGTATCTTTTAACTTATTTCAACTTAATTGTACAGTGTTGAAAATCACTTACAGTAAATTCTTGAGAAGCCATTGCTTTGGCAAAGTAGTCATCCAACAGCTTGCTTCAAAAATATTCACATCTTCATATGGTCTGAGAGACAGGGAAATGTTCAGAATCCACCAGTCGTGGATGAAATGTATTGACAAAAAAATAGATGTCAGTTCATTTTTAATTTTTTTTTTCTCTAAAGAAGACAAGACAATGCCGAAACAGTGGTGTATAGCTGATGTAGGCATTTTAAAGAGAAACCGTGAAATTAATCTAACGGAAAGACTACTGGTAAAAACCAGCTTTTTTTATAGGTGCCTTGCTATTTTCTAACTTTCAGGGGAATTCATTTATTTAAATAAATGGCGGGCAACTCTGAAACCTGCAGTGACCATACTGCTATTCAGGAGCTTATTGACTCTGAACTTGGTCATGCATGTTTAATTCATGTTAAAGATAACTGACTCTCAAAATCAGTCACCCATGAAGTCAAACCTCTTTACATATTTAAAGATAGCTCAGTAACTTTTACAACAGCCTTTGACAATGAGACTACAAACAAATCATTATAAAATCAACTAATATCCAGAAACTGTGATTTAGTGCTGTATGTACAGGCTTGTATTAGTTGGTCAATACTGTGATTTGCATCTGGGTTTGGTGAGTTGCACTTGTGAGCTTAGTTCAATCCATTAATAGCACTGCAATAAAATGATCACAAGAAACAAGGCAAGCCTGTCAGCTCCTCTTATGCTCCACATAAATGAGAAACAGTTTATAATAAGAAGGGAGAGATATTCATGTTGTTTCTCTTGGCTGCCACCTTCTTGGTAGTCTCTGGGTGCAAAACTTAAGAAACGTACACCCTTAAAGCACACAGAATTACTGCTAAAAGCAGCTGGATAAACGCCAGCACTCCCTGTAACTCAACATGGAGCGCCATGGGAACAGAGATGAATAGAATCATAGAATGGTTAGAGTTGGAAGGGACCTTAGAGATCACCTAGTTCAACCCCCCTGCCATGGGCAGGGACACCTCCACTATAGCAGGTTGCTCAAAGCCCCATCCAGCCTGGCCTTAAACACTTCCAGGGATGGGACATCCACAGCTTCTCTGGGCAAACTGTGCCAGTGCCTCACGACCCTCACAGTAAAGAATTTCTTCCTAATATCTGATCTACATCCCCCCCCTTTTCCAATTTAAAACCATTACCCCTTGTCCTGTCACTACACTTCCTGACAAAGAGTCCCTCCCCATCTCTCCTGCAGGCTCTCCAACTCCTCTGTAGGCTGCTATAAGGTCTCCCCAGAGCCTCCTCTTCTCCAGGCTGAACCACCCCAGCTCTCTCAGCCTGTCAGGACTGACAGACAGCATTCATAGGAACACAGCTAGCACGCATTCACACTGATTTGCCACATTCACCTTCTCTGCACAGCCCGGACAGGCCCGGTGAGCCCTTTATAACCCATCAGCCATAAGCGTCTCCCTCAACACGGTGGCGTTTGCACCAAGACCGCCTCCCCGGGGCCTTCGCAGACTTAGGACGGGCCACCGCAGAGACAGAAGCTCGCCCCACCACGACACCCGCCACCAGTAACCACCCCCAAGGGCTGTCACTCCGGCTGAGAGACCCTACGATAGACCCCAGCCCTACCCACCTGCCCCGGGTGGATCATAACAGCCGCAGCCGCCTTCCCCTCCCGCCGTTCGAGCTTCCCGCCGCGGCCCTGCCTGACGTCAGAACGCCGCGACGCCCAGGAGGAAGTCACGTGCCCGCGACGCCCAGGCGCGCGCCGCCGCGGCTCTACGCATGCGCGGGCGGCGCCGCGGGGCCTTTTCTCCCTGCGGGGGCCGCGCGTCGTGTCCAGGTTGACGGTGGTGGCGGCGGCGGCGGCGGGAGGGGTCAGGTCCCGCCCTGCGGCGAGAGGTGGACGGTCCGGCTCGGTGTCCCCGCCGTGTGCGGCGGCAGGTCAGTGGTGGGGGACAGCGGGGGCGGCCCAGTGCGAGGACGGCACAGGTAGGGGGCGCTGCGGCCCCTCTCACCGTGCGCATGCGCTGCCTCAGGTGGCGGCCGTTGGGCTGAGGGGGCTGCGCGCGCCGGGCCCCTCAGGCAGAGGGCGGGCGAGAGGGAGCCGTCTCTATAGGGTAGTGTCGCTTTTGACTGCTGCCACTCGTGTCCCTGAACCCGGCCTTGGCCTCGCCCGTTGTGGGGTCCTGCCCCTTTCCCCGTGGCCGGCTCCTGGGTGTCCTTCTCTTCTGCTGCCCGCTTCTCCCCAGATGCGTGGCTCCTTCCTGAGGCGCTCGAACCGGTCGTGCCCCTCAGCGTCTCCCTGGGGCTCCGTGGTGACTTTGCCCCTGGCAGGTCGTGGTGCTGGCTAGGGTGCCTTCGCTCTCGGTCAAGGCCTGGCAGCTGCCGTTGGAGGAGAGGGTCCCGTGGTGATGGGGGGACACAGGGGGAGTGGCTGCTGTTGGGCAAGTGTGTGCACGCTTGCTTCACTATTTTATGCATATAAGGTTCATGGGCCGTTGCAGCAGTAATGCTGAAACCTGCGGTAGTCAGTGCCCGTGCAATTGGCAAGAGTATGGCAGTCAACCTTCTTGGTAACTAGGATTTAGCCAACTGTTACACTGACAAAGATTAAGTTGGGGGTAGAAAAATCTATTTTGCATTGTGTTTCTCCCTTTTGTTTGAATGGTAAAGAAGATGAGGTTCTTCTACAGTTGTGCAGTGCTTCTGGACTAGTCTGAGTGCAGCTGCGAACTGGGCAGCAAAATGTCTTGCTTTTGTACCCATCTCTGTCCTGTTCCCAAGTGCTTAATCCTGCTGCTTCCCTTCATCAGCACCGCTGCTTATTCAGCTCCCTAATGAGTTGGTTTAACCCACCCATCCAGCAGGGAAGGACCAGGAAAAAAAAAAAAAACAAAACCCAAACCACTCAGGGTTGAACTGGCTTACCAGAGGGTGCACTACTCTGAGGGAGAACTGTGTAGCAACTAAGATGAGAGAGCTGGGCTGCCCTTTTGGTGCCAGTGAACTGTTGGTTCATATAGCTGCATCCATCTAACCAGAGTCTCACGCTGTAGGCCAGCATCTTACTAAAAATCCACTTGCTGCCTCCTGTGGTGACAGAGGAAAGGGTAACCGTGTAAGGGCTGCCATGGTGGGGTCTGTCTATGCAGGGGAAACACATTAACACCCATGGCCATCATGTGGAAGCAAAACCTTTTCTGTTTGTGAGCGCGCTGTTTTTGTGACATCTCTTCAATGCTTTAAATGTAGATTTAAAATGATGTATTGGTTTCATTGTTTAAAGGTGGGGAAAAAGCAGGAGATACTCTGATTTTAGGTTAAGAAAATTGTGCTGAGCCCCCTGTATTAACTTCTGTCTTTTCTTAGCTTGTTTTCTGTAGAGTGAAGTTACAGGGCAGGGTGGGAACTTAAACTACTGCTGCTCTGCCTGTGTGTATATTAGAATAAGAATACCCAAGGTGAAGTTCAGAATGTGTCTTGAAAGTAGTTTCAGGCTTACTGAATACTTTTGTTTATTTTGGAGTAAATGTCCAGAAGAGGAAGTGTTGCTGCTGGCTATATGGAAACATTCTCATAGCATAAAAAGTATTTTGAATGATTTTTTTTCTCCTCTCCTCATCCTTCCTTTGCTCCATTTTGCTACTTAAAATGCCCAACACAAGTAAGCATTTGCATCAATGCTTAATATGAAAGAATAACGGATATCTTATAACTGTTTCTTCCAGACCACAGATTACCCTAGTTAAATTTGATTATGGTTTTGTAGATCTTTATAACAATAGAAGTTGGGTTTGGAACTAGGCTGTGTTCAGATTAGCACCAGTGTGCTTAATGTTTTATATTCTTTTAAAGGAAATAGATAAGTTACTATGGTCTTGTCTGGACCTGTATTATTTTGATTTACATTATTTTTGCTTTCTTAGAGTTCCTTCCACCTGCTTAATTGTCCTCTGTTTCCTGGTTTCACTGTCCCATATAAAGACACTGTGATTTTTATTTCATTTGAGGAAAGCTAAGGGATGGCAGCCGTTTGGTTTAACAGAGTGAAGCTTGGACACTGCTTTTGCTTTCTTCTGATTTTAATTATTTACCAGATTAGTCCTTGCGGCTGTGAGAATGGCAGTGTAAAAGTTGGCAAGTCCACAAAAATGTGCTATCTTATATCTCAGCGTTGCAACTTTCATGAGTTGAGGTTTGCAAGAGGAATTGAGAATGAAGAGAATACCAACAAAAAAAGCGAGTGCTATGAGTTATTCACATGTTTACTTATAAACAGTGTTTTCTTAAATCTTGAGTTTTAATCTTGTGTCGTATCAGGTATGAGTATTTCACTACTAAATGTAAGATTGTGTACAGATTCTAATTATAGACTTGTAGCTGATGTTTGGTCTGAATCTGTATTTCCAAGCTCCTCCAAAGATTTTTGCAAAGGTTCATTTCTAAAGCAAGTAGCACAAAGCAAGGGGTGTGGGGGAAGCCCAGAATACAGCTTGCAGCTATTTTTCTTTAGGCTTGAATGAGAACCTCTCTCCTGGGAAAGAAGTCCCAAGGCTGAGTGACTCAAAATGCATGAAACACTTAGATGACTTTTTAAAATAAAGCTTTGCTGTACGTAAGCCACATTGATTATATGCCAGTGTGGTCATTTAATGCTGTTCAGCTACTAAAAGTATTTCCTAATGATGCTTTACCTTTAATGGGACAAATCACTGTAGTCCTCAGCTAAGTAATATGTTGTTCTGCTGATTATTAATACAATATTATCTTAAGGCTGAAGGGCTTGAATGCAGCTTAAACTTCTGCTTAGGTTGTGAGTTTTACCTGGCTTATCTTTTCAAGGTAATTGTTGACCTTTCACTATCTTGAGTGGTCAGCTCACAGCAGGGAGAGAAACTGATATCCGGCTAAAGAAGCCTGATTTGCACAATAATTTGAAGACCATTTCCATTTTTGTCATCCAGTTGCAGAAGTAGGCTTCCTCTCTGATGGCTCTAGTCAGTTTCCTTGTATGTTGCCTTGGCAGAGAGCTGAGAAGTCTTTCATATGGTGATTGCTACATTAATTACTTTAATTTTTGTGTTAATTTCATTTTCAAAAAGCTGTCTGCTTTTGGCAGTATCACTTGGGTTTGCTCATGTAAAATGAAGTACTGTGGTGACAGGCAGGTCTGGTGTAGGACTAACTGGCTACAGTGAATTGAACTGTGAGCAAAAAAGATGAATTGATGCATCAAAAAGTTTTTATATTATTTCAGGTAAATCTGTACATTTAAGTCCCTTCCCTCTAAGTAGCCCTTTATTTCTAGGGGCCTGATTCCGAGTTTCTGACAGAACTTGGTTTGCCATTAAAATCAGTGAGAGTTGATGAAAAAGCCCTAACCAAGGAAAAATGTCTGTTTAAGTGTAGGACGTACAGATTGCTGCAGGGATTTGCAGCAAAGAATGTGTTACAACATATTCAAAGGTGGCATTGGAAAGCTTTGAATTTCAGCTCTTTGGTAGGGCTTTGGCAATTCACAGGGTGACTAGTTTGCATTTTTGATGTAACAAAGACAGTTTTAAAAACAAACCTTACTATTGCCAGACCTGCCACAAATATCAACTAGGTATCTCAATATATTTTTACATTGTATTTATTTATAAGGATTAATAGGTGCTCCTCGTTTGGAGGCTGTACTGTAATTTTTTTGCAACGAGGTCTTCAGCTGCTGCATGTGTTCCAGTGTGTAACCTGTTTGCAGCCGCTGGATTTACAATACATGCCTGCTGAGTGTGGTCCTTTGGCCAGCCTTTTCAGAAGTCTTCTATATAGAAGTTCTTCTTCTATGTACAGTTGGGTTTTTTTTCCTGCTCTGCCTTCTACATAAAAGGCGTAATTTCTGAAGTGTACAGTGCTCTGGGTTTTTTGTGTGTTCTTTCTAATGGTTTGTACTGGAAGATATGGGGAGTGGAGAACAAATGCTTTTGGTGGTTTTTTTTTTCCCAAGTCTAAGAAGATGGGTTTATTGGGAGGGAAATTGTCTGCTTTTTAGACTTATATTTTCCTCATCTTCTGTATGTTTTGTATTTTTCTGCGCTACGAGTAATGAATGGTACATAGTCCCACAGGGGATGCGTGAAGTTTTTAATGTAATGTTTTAATGGAACAATAGTTATTAGTCCTTGAAATGAGAATATTTTTAATTTTTCTCAAAGCTTATATTTAACTTTCACTTGACAGAATGACAGGAATGGAGACTGAAACTCCAAGAGACAAAGCCATGGAAGAAGAAAGCACTGAACAGAAAAAGGAGAGAGAGAAAAAAAAGAGGTCAAGGGTTAAACAGGTGCTTGCAGATATAGCGAAACAAGTGGATTTCTGGTTTGGTGATGTTAATCTCCACAAAGATAGATTTCTCCGAGAACAAATAGAAAAGTCCAGAGATGGGTGTAAGTTTATTTTCACTGTATTTCACTAAACAGATATGTTTAACTTTTTTCTTCACTGTATTGCTGGTGACAGTTAAAAGTTATTTTGAGGTTCACGTCTACTCCTGGGATAAACAGTAGTTTCATGCTGGAAACCGGCATTAGAATTAGCAGCTCAGGAGGCAGAGCTTGCTACTAGTTTTTATAAATTGTATTTAGTGTTTCTCTTATCTCCTTTACCACCAACTGTAAGTTAAAGGCATCTGCCAGGGTGGAAATGACTGTGTGGGAGACCTGATTTTCTTTTTTTAACTCTGTATAATCTTAAGAACAAGCAAACAAGGAGAACTTTGCCTTGGAGATAGAGTACTTGACTTGCAGAGTAGATATATGCAGAAATTAAAATGTCATTTGGATTTGCAGTTTAGATATAGATAATTTTGTGTGTGTGTGCTGCACAAGGGCGGTATCTTAATAAAATGTGTATTTGCGTGTAGGGCTACTGTGGGTCTCTTCTGTTTAGCTGATTTTTGACATGGTTAATTTGATTTCAGAGTAGGAAGTTGGACTTAGTTCTGAAACTATTGGCTGGTTTCTAAAGAAGAAATTAATTTACAGATTAGCTGCAGTGACTCGTATGCTTTTGCTTTAAAAAACAGTGCCTGTGTGTTAAATGCAATCTATCAGAATGGCAGATGGACTACTGTTGTGGTATGTTTGTAAAAAGAGGTGGTCCTTTTCCATGAAACCACCACCAACAACAAAAAAAACAGTTTCCAGAAGTGTTTACTTATTTTTAGTTTCTTAAGGAGTCCATATTTATTTGAAGTGTAAATCATTAGTCCAGTTGCATTGTGTGAGAAGTCTAACCTTCGTATAGTCCTCAATTACATTGAACATCAAGTCAGCTTTAAAAAAAAAAAAGGCCTTCAGAGGAATAAAATTTCAGCTACATTTTCTAGAGATATTAGAGCTTGGGAATCTTTATCTTTTTTATTAAGAATAATACTACATAATTTTCTGTCAAGGTTTTAGCAGCATGACTCATCGCAACTGAAGTGCTAGCAGGGGCTCTTTTGTGTTGGGAAGGCTGGGTTAAACACTTAATTGAGTACTTGAAGGAGAGGCATGTTTTCAATGCAAATTGTTTTTGTGTTGTAAAACTACATCAGAAAGGGGGGTTTCTTCCTTTCTTTTCAAAGACAATAGTTATCAGTGGGGAGGTAAAGGAACAAAATTCCTTTTGATAAAGGTTAGCACAAAAGAAGATTAAACATAGGTTTACTTGAAACTTTAATTTTGATGGTAAAAAATTTCTGTAAATCCTTGGCAGCATGGTTACATACGGCACTTGAGACTTGCAGATTGTTTTACAAAAATACTAGTTCAGTCTTAATGTCAGATTAGAAAACATAACTAATGTTTTCTAGATTAACCCTATTTCATCATTTGCACCTTTTTTATCCCTAGATGTTGATATATCACTTCTTGTTTCTTTCAACAAAATGAAAAAATTAACTACTGATGGGAAATTGATAGCTCGAGCAGTTAAAAGTTCATCTGTTGTAGAGGTATGTAATATTTCGCTCTTGTATTTGCTGATACTGGAGCAATAGTGATAGAGGTACTGAAGTAGGCAATAATATTATGAAAAATGCTTGTTCATTTCTCGTTACTTTTAGTTGGATTTAGAAGGGACTAGAATCAGAAGACGCCAACCTCTGGGTGAGCAACCAAAGGATGTGGATAGTCGTACAGTCTATGTGGTAAGGATGTACTTTTATATGCATTGTCTCAGGCAGAATGCTTTATTTCTAACTATGGAAACTATTTTAAACTTTCTTGCTGCTAAATCCTTAAAAGTGCAAACTCCACTGTGTATTGTCTGTGACGATCTAATTGTATAGTGTTGTTTACTGTATTAAAAGCAACAAAACCAACATAAAGTGGCTGCATAGTTTTATCAGAATTAGAAGATTGATTTTCTTTGAGGACATCACGGATTTAGTACAAGAAACATTTTACATTAAGCGTAAAAGCTAATAGAATTTGATTGTCTCTTTTGTTTGTTTTCCCTCCAAAATGAAAGGACAGTGTGAGAGAGGGGAATGCATTACAGGTGTATTGAACCTAAGGCCCATAGAGTGGGGTTAAGGTACATGTTTCATGCAGTAAATATTTTTGTACTGGAAATGTATCTGTCCATCGGTATTTTTTTTAATGCAGGGAGGGACTACTGTTGTGCAGTGTGTAAGGGAAGTAAATTACATAAAGGCCAGGTGAGCGCTGGCAGTGACCATGGCAAGAAGGGGATTAGTTTGGTACGCCAGTTTCTTGTACCATCTTATATCATTTTAAATGCTGAGCAATGAGCTGCTGCATATTGTAGTAAGTAAAGGTGCACTTTCATTTAGCTATTACTGCTTTCACTGGGCTTTTCTAGTTAATGCCACTAGAGGAGCAACACTGCTACCAAGAAACGTTTTCAGATTAGTGATGTAGTCAAAGCTTTATAATAATAACTTTATTAGTTTTATCAAACAGAATCTGTCTGAGTTTGCAAGATAATCAGGGATACTTCAGAAAGTACAATCTGATTTTGGAATCTGTTAATGCAAGTGCCTCTGGTTTTATAACATACAAAAGTCATTCTTTTAAAGGCAGAATGTACTTAAATGAGCGAGTCTTATTTTTAGGAGGCTTTAAAAAAAAAAAAATCCTTCTAATAGCACCCTATCCTGTGACCTTGATACTGAATCATTCATTTCTTTTAATGAAAATAGCTTGTGCCGCTGGAAAAAATCCACATATCAATGTGATATTTCAGATGTGTCAGAGTGGAACAGCTGTTGTCATATTGTTGAACCACTTAAGTGGTAGTGTGGAATGAGATCTGATGGTTGAACTGTCACTTAATTAAAATCCTGTGCAATTTTTAAATGGAATTGAAGCCAGTGTGGAATTCCCTTTGCCTCTAAAGCAAGCTTCCAGTAGTTAATGTCAATTTAGGTATATACCTGTAGCTGTTAGCAGATGAATTAGTGATTTCAAGCAGGCACCAAGCTTTCTGTGATGAAGGTACATAATCATGCCCAAAATGCCAGCCCATCCAGGTAGAGCGGAGATGGATTACTCTCATCATTGCATTCTTTAACAAGAGCCCAGAAAAGGTTATTTGTTTTTCTAAGTACAGTGTGCCAGTCATTGGATTTCCCTAACATGACTACAGGGACTGCTTAGAACTTCTCAAATATGTTTTCTGTATCATTTTTGGAAAAGATATTCCAAATTTAATGAGCTACATAGTCTATACATTGCCTAAATAAATAGCTAAATGGTTTTTCATTTTAAGCTTTTCTGTAAGACCAAAATAGATAACTGGTATGTCTTGGTAAGTTTTTTTCCTTTTTAATAAAATACTAAGGATGGGTTTTTTCCTTTTTAATAAACTATTTTACAAGGTATCTGCCTTCTATATTGCAATTGTGGAAATGTTAAGCCATGTTAAATGACTCATAGATAGCAAAAGAGGGGAGCAGAACTAGTTGGAGTTAGTAAGTTTTGTTTCATTCTGGAGAATGTGAAAGAAAGATTAATACAAAGGTTACAGATGAAGTCTCCACTGTGGAGGATTATCTCCAACAGTAGCATGTTTTCTGAATTTATGCAGGAAGTCAGAGCTTTATTTCTGAATTGTGACTTAAAGTTGTGTTTCTTTTAAGGAATAGCAACATCATCAATTCACATTTTTTACAATATCATTTATTTTAGGGGGAGTTTTCGTTAAATTTCTCTAAGCTTACCATTAGTAACTTTTTTTATAGGCTTGAACTTAAGCTACATGTTGACGTACAGTATTGTTTTGTACCCATTCCCCTGGCTTTTCAGCTTTCTACCAAAAACCACAATGAAACATTTTTCTTAGGCAGGCAAAGTTAATGCAAAAATGGTTTTCTACCTGAATGTGGTAAACAATGTTTTCCTACAAGGAAAACCTTTTACTGCAGTTAACTTGGAATGAAAAAAAAATAACGAAGTATTGCTGAATCTCCGTTGTTGTTTAGGCATGAGTTTGAGAATAGTGTTTTTAATGGTGTGCTGTTGGGTCTATTTTGAAATTGGTATGACAGGATTTCTCTTAGGTAGGTGAAGGGAAATACCTAGGAACTGAGACATGATGTCTACAAGCTGCTAAAATATGTTGCTGTATTAAAGAGTTCGTAGAAATAAAAAGAAGTTAGTGTTATTTTTCAAGAAGCTGGCTAAAAGTTTCTGCTACATCTCATCAACTAGGCCAAAAGCGCTAACTGCTAAGCTTTAAAATGTCAGTTACTGGCAGGGATTTATCAGTTTGAGTAGTGACTTTTTACTGACCTACAAGAATTCTGTGATACCTGGCTTACCAAAAATTAAACAAAAAAATAAAATTCATGTGCTTTGAAGTGGATAGTTTTAGACAATGCAGAATTATGTTTGCTTTAAGGTCTTAAATTTACAAAGATATTTCATGTTGGAAAGATACAGCTGCAGGTGAGGTCTTGGTGTCTGTTACGGGAAGAAGATAAACATCTAAATTATAATAAATTTGCTAGAGGTATATGAATGATTAGATACCTGCTTTCAGATCGCTGTTTCTACTTCCTGAATACTATGACTTCTTGACAAGAATAATTACTGAAATAAAAAAAGTTTCTCAAATATTGTCACATCAAACTTAAATATATATTTTGGTGACAATTTCTTTTAATTAAAAGATGTAGTAAACCATCTGATAAAATGGTAATACTGTAGTGAGAAAATGATTTCCTTTTTTTTTATTTTTTAGGAGCTGCTTCCCAAAAATGTCAATCACAGCTGGATTGAGCGGGTGTTTGGGAAGTGTGGTAATGTAGTTTATATTAGTATCCCCCGGTATAAAACTACTGGTGATCCAAAGGGATTTGCTTTTGTTGAATTTGAAACTAAAGAGCAAGCAGAGAAAGCTATTGAGGTGAGTAAATGGTGCCTCTGGTCTGTTAACATTCTTCCTGATTGTCACTCAGTGATCTAGATGGTGTAGTCTTTACTAGTTCACCTACTGAATCTTAGAGAAATTCCTAAAATATAACAAGTTAAAAACTTAGCAGGAGTTATGTTTATGTCTCCTCCCCCAAGAACTCCAATCAATCCCATGATTCTTTAGAAGGGTAATTCTGTTAATAAGCTGGAGACTTAGTGGAAGCATAGTAGGTATTTTTTTCTTTTTAAGAGTTTGGTTGGCCACTCTTGGCATCTTTTATGGAAAGAGAGATTTCTGCATAATAATACAATGGCTATAAATTTCATCAGACAATCATGGCCGTACCATACCTGATTTTCTGCATTTAAATGTAATTTGAAAGTTTTAAACCATTTACCTTTCAATAGCATAAAGATAACATGCATAAAAATATCACACTAATAATATGAAATCAAGCAAGCTCTGCACTTAAAAAGCAAACCACAAGAAGAAGAAAAAAAACCCACAAAACCCACCATACCACTGAAAGAACAATGTATACTTCTGGAGTCATGAGAGACTACATATTTCTCGAATGAATAGATGATTGTTGCTCTTAACTTGTTTCTTTAAAAAAGAAAATATTTTTTTAGTAATGGCTTGTGGATTTTACTATTTAATTTTTTTTTAAGTTCTTGAATAATCCACCAGAAGAAGCGCCACGGAAACCTGGGATTTTCCCCAAAACTGTAAAGAATAAGCCTGTCCCTACACTGAATACAAGTAACAGCAGTGTAGTAGGTAAGTGTTACTAAGTTAATGGGATCAAGATGCAAAGTGTTTTGTGCATCAACTTCTGAAGAGAGAATTTTGAACTGTTATGTTACTGTAGTCTAATTGCACATTTCTTAGAAACTTGATAAAACTGGATGTTGCTGTTTGTTTGTTGGCCAATATAGGCTTAAGAATGAAAATGTAAATCTAAGATACATAAACTTCTACCTATTTGCTTTCCTCCTTGATAATGAACTTGATTTCTTTTTTCCTCTTTTGCAAGCTACCACCATTAGCCAGTTAGGCTGACAGAGCAGCTTTCAGACTGTACAATAAATCATTATCTGGAACATTTAGCATTAGCAAAAGAAAAATTTTACACATTGTTTTAAAAATATTTAATATTGAAAGGAAAGAGAGCAAAATTATACATAAACATGAGTGCTGTTCAGGTGAGTTTGTGATAATCTGACACATTTCAGAGCAAACCCGGTGGTGGTGTTCTCTCTGCTGTAACTTTCTGTGAGAGAACTATGAAAACAGTGGATTTTTGTCTGTTTTCCTCTTTGGAACTCCTGCTGTTTCAGCAGAGCAGTCTATAGCAGAATTAACCTTTTAGAGTATATTTACAATTCCACTTGTGTGATTGATAATGACTCGTAAAAACCTGGAGGATATTGTCTGAGAAATGAATCCTGAATTGAGCGTGTTTCCAGTATATACTATTTATTATAACTTAGCAGTGTTACAAGTTTACGTAGCCACTTTGAGCTCTGAACCATTTTTCCTTGTTTCTGATGACATAATACATTTTCCCAAGCTACAGACATCTTCCTGTCTTTTTCATAAGCTTAATGATGAGTCATGTTAAATTCCTCACTATTATCACTAGTTCTTTGTTACATTAGTAACTTCTAGGACAAAAAAAAAAAGAAAAACCAAGCTTTTAAAACCCACTTAAGATACTCTTTACTGCTTTGTACTGCATCTTGCCTATGACACCTTTGAAGCAAGTAGACAATATTGAAAATAGAATTATTTTTTTCCAGATTGGTTAAGTTAACGTTTTTTAATTTAGTAGGCCAATAGTTGTTCATTATATAACATGATAGATTCATTGGGCTGAGTATCTCCTTTTATTCTTGGAATACAAACTGGTGGTCTCTTTTTATTTTCTTGTCTTTGTCATATGGCCTGGAAGGAGGAAGGTATCCCTTCTCAGAGACAAGTAAGGGATGACACAAGAAAATGTGCATTTGTTAAGGAGAAACAAATAACTCTAGCTCCATTTTAATTTGAGAGTAAGTACTTCAGGAATCCTGTAGTCAAGCTACCCTTGTGACCTAGAGGTCTTTCACACTTTCTGGGACTGAGTGTCTTATTTATCCTTTTTTTTCTCTCCTGCTTAAAATGCTTAGGAGGAACTTTGGGACAATGTATTGCATCTTTCCTGTAGTTAGAGATGGCAGAGACAGGCGTTTCATTTAACATCCCAGATTATCATGACGTGGTATCGTGATTGTTTACTTAGGTCAATTAATCTGATCTCGTATTTAATCGTTGGTAGTTTTAAATATTGTATTTTTAATACAGAAGAGAAGAAAAAGAAGAAAAAAAAGAAATCCAAAATCAAGAAAGAGAGCAACGTACAGGCAGCTGTAGAGACAAAGGAATCAAACACCAACGCTACAACAGACCAAGTACCCAAGTCAAAAAGACATAGGACTTCATCGGAGTGTTCAGAAATGGAGGGAACTGAGACTCACAGGCAGCCCTCAAGAAGAGAGAAGAGAAAATGGGACAGAACAGAAAGCTCAGAGGGACCTTGGGAAAGCAGGCCAGGGAAGAGAAAAAGAACCAGCTCTGGAGATGGTGAGACATCAACCCCAAAAGTCAAGAAAACTGTTAAAAAGGATGAAGTTCATCCTGTGAAAGAGGAAACAACAGAAGCTCCGAAGGATTCCAATGGTAAAGTTCATTGTATGTTTTTTTAATTACTTTCATGATCTATATGCATGAATGAAATCAAATGGCAGACTTAGTAATAAGGGGAAAGTCTAGTTAAGGAGAAAAGCTCGATTTAAAGGAGCTGTGTTCTTTGCAGTTGAAATAGGATTTTTAGTGGCCTGAGTGAAGTAACTAGGAATCTTGATTCTCTAGAGGGTAACAAGCAAGTGGGGAAAGGGGGATTGCAAAGAACATGGTTAGAAAGCAGTAAGAAATGTATCAAATATCTGTGTAACACAAATTCATTTGTGAACTGACTTTTGGAGGCTGATAGGTTTATTAATTGGATTAATGATTATTGAGTAACCCTTTCAAGTGCTGGTGAAATATTCAGATGCTGAATTTCTCTCTGAAAGCCTGAAGAATTAACTGGGAAAACGTTGTTCTGCTTGGGTCAGTAGGTGAAAAATGGTTGATAGGGTGGAGGCCTACCAAAGTCAGCTAAGGAATATGTGTTGTTCCCTGCAGTAAAGTTTAAACCTGGTAATGAGTCATTACAGGGAGATAAGTTGCATGGAGAACAGGAAAGAACTTTCAACACTAAAGCAGGTAAATCTCATCAGAAGTAAAAACAGTTCACAAAGAACTCAATATCAATAGAACTTCACTGAAGAAAAGTATGGATTAAACAGCCTATGCAAATGGTGACAGTATAAGAGTCTAGATAAGTAAGATTAAACAAAAAGCTGATCCCAGTTTCTTACATGAGATAAGGAAAAAAAAAGGGAATAGATGGGATTAAAAGCTGCATTGAAATCACGTTTTGGTTGATGAGGATCCTTGATTAGAGACTTAACCTGGGTAGTTGAGAAACAGTTCACTGAACTGTTTTTTATAACAAAGTAAACAATACTATGCAATATTCATTCAGGCTTTATTCTATAATACCTGTTATATTAGAACTAAACATTTTTATTTTGGACTTTCTAATGTAGACATTTCTGCAGAAGAGGACAAAGATAAAAAAGACACATCCCTTTCAAAATCTAAAAGGAAACACAAGAAGAAGCACAAAGAAAGACACAAAATGGGTGAAGAAGTCATTCCACTCAGAGTACTCTCCAAGTAGGTTATGAAACTAAGCTATGGGGCTAGCTTATGGTTTACCTAGTGGATGGGGAGGTATCTATTATAGATGCTTCATAGCCTTTTTGTAGCATGAGACCATTGCATTTTCCATAGTTTCACTAATTTAATTGATTATTTTTTTTCTCAGCAGTACTGGGTACTCACATAGAATAATTCATTTGCCTGTATAGTGGTGGGCTGGCATAAAGCATCCAGCCTTTAAAGGGGTGCTTACATAAAACATCTAATGAAGAGCATATTAGATGTTATGAAACATCTTCTAATGAGCAGCAGGGAGGAGGGGTGGGTGGAAAGGAAACCTGACCCCGAGTGAGATCAAGGCGAAGAATCCCAACTTCTCCCAATTGATGTATCGACCAACTCAAGTCCAGGATTAGGCACAGGCTGGGTGGGCTCAGCTTCCTTGGTCACAAATGATGTATTAAATTAAATGTCTGGGTAGCTTGGCAATTACAATTTTGCATTTAGTTTTTTTATTGTGGTTTTAATTACAAAAAGCAGTAGTGATGGCCTTTTTGGCCTTACGGTAGCTTTTTTTTTAGCTATCCAACTTTTGGCCTTTTCTCCAAACCTGGGGCATTTGTAAGTGTGTGGTATCTTGTATTTCCTGGACTATTGTCAGTTACAGGAAACAAAGTCACTAATTGTGCATACTTTATTGAAATCCATTTCTAAACAGTGTTTCGGATGTCTGGAGTATTTAATTAAATGATTGTATGTCTGACAGGCCATCACCATTGCTAAAGTGCAATTCCAATTTTTATTTAACAGAGTTGCATATTAGCAACAGTATTAGCCTGTAGCTTAAAAGGTTGAATTACCGGAGTTTTCTACTGCTGTGTGGAGTTCTGCTTGTAGTTCTGTGTGCCAGTAATTGCAAATAACAAACAGTTCCTCAGTAGTTTGTCTACGGACCAAGTCATGGCATTGAAGAAATTTAACAATATTGATGTCTGCAATTGTTGGGCTCTTAGGAGTCACCACAACTAAAACATGGAAGCACTTACTTTTTAGGCATCCAGCAAGTACCTCCATGTTAAAGTAGAGGGGGTCCTTGCCATCTTGTGCTTATACCTGGATGCAAAATTGTGCTTTCATTAACACAGAGTACATGTGCATTGCAGTATGTTTTTTCAGTATCTGTTTTGATATATTTCCTAAAAGGAGGGAAGTTTTTTCAGTTAAGGAAAAAAAGGATTCACCATCACCAAAACATGGAAGCACTTACTATTCGGGAGCAAAGCAAGTACATCCACATTTAAGTTGTGGGGATCCTTATGTGGAAACTAACTAGTAACTACAAAAAAAATAATAAACAGACAACGAAGCAACAACACCCCCCCAAAATAAAACCATACCCTATGGTATACACAGAATTCTAACAATAAAACCATGCACGTATAATGCTATAAGTAGGCATCTTTAAGCTGTAGATAATTTTTAGAAACTAAGAAAATTAGGATCCACCGCCACTGAAACATGGAAGCACTTACTTTTTTTAGGCAGCAGGTACCTCCATGTTAAAGCGAAGGGAGTCCTTTTTAAAAACCATGAAACTTGCTTAAAATTATTTAACACAGGCCACCCAAAAAAAGAATCTTGTTCAGTAATACTTGCTGCATTTGGTTCTTGTTGGAGAAGCATGCCTTTATCTGTTACAGCCAAAATTCTTCTTTCTTGTTTTCCCGGATCAAAAAAATTTGCAACTGAAGTGTATGGAAAAAGAAAAAATCCGGGATGGTATTTCAGTATTGCGATCAGGATTCACCTCTACTAAAACATGGAAGCACTTACTTTTTTAAAATCACAGAAAGCACCTCCATGTTAAAGTAAAAGGGGTCCACAAAAAAAAACCCAAACCAAACACGGTAGCTATCAATGTTGCTTGTCTTCTTCCATTGAGATTCGGAGGCTACTGCATCAAACAGAGAAATAGTTTTTATTTTAAGTTAGCTATAGCAAACGGGGGGGGGAAGTTTTAAAAGAGCATAAGCATTGCAAATACTTGCCTGAGTCATTCCCCATGGTCTTCTCTTCCTTCGAATCAGGTTAACAAGCACCTCCTTGAGCTTGTATTTATACCATACCTTGCTGTGGAATGGTGTTGCCTTTTTATCTCTAAGAATCATTACGTGGGTCTTTTGTTATTTTAATGTCCTTGCTCTGTTGAGAATGTATGATCCTGGGTGAGTCTGGATGCTTTTTTGAAGTATACAGTTGTCAATGTTAACAGCTAAAACCATTACCACAAGATATCCTCCTCTTTAAAAATCCTCTATCAGCTTGTTTGATAGCACAGATTAGGGTAACAATGAGTCGTTCTCACAGTGGCACTATAGGCATTGTGTTTCTGTGGAGCAAAGCTCTAGCTGTTTGCAGAAACATCTCCATGTTAAATGTATGTAAATATATAAATTGCTTCCATGTGGTGGTATTTTTTAACCAAAATGCATTTGAATAGTAAGGAATGTTCTTATCTCAGTAGGTTTTTGGTGAGTTTAACCAGTTGTTGATTTTCTATCAATGATTTTTCTAGAAAATAAATGGCTGATTCTTAATATAGTAACACAGGAGCGGGTTCACTGAACTAATTCAGTGAATTCAGAGTTCACTGTCTGAATTAACTCTGAATTTAGCGCCTATGCTATTTAGTGCCTGTAGTGTAGTTCCAGTAAGAAAACACAGTTGACCAAGCTGTTCTATATGCTTTCTAAATACGTAAAACAAATATGGGAGTCATTCTATTTGTATGATAGGTTGATCTTGTTAGAACTTGCCTGAAATATTAAAAAGCTAAATAAAAAAAAAAAATGCAGCCATTGACAAGGCTCAAATTGACCTAAGTACTGGAACATATCTAAATGGTAAGAATGCTCACCAAGTTCAGCTTGTTTTGTCTTAAGTTATTGTTGAGTTTCTAAACATTATTTTCTTGTTTACAACTGACATCCTATGCCTGTGTTGCTGTTTATAGGACTGAATGGATGGATTTGAAGCAAGAATATTTGACCCTTCAAAAAGCCAGTATGGCCTCCTTAAAGAAAACAATGTCTCAAATCAAACCTGAGCCTGTGGGAGAGATGGAAACTGAAACTTGTGCACAGAAAAAGCTTCAATCTGAAAATGACAGATGTAATCCTCTTTGTGATGTTTTTTGTCTTTTCTTCATGATTCTAGTATACAAATATAAGTGGTTTAAGACACTGGTCCTCTAGAAACATTGCAAAATATTTTTATTTTCTGTAATGCTAGTGCTTTCTCTAAATGTCAAATATTATTAAAAGCAAATTCCACTCATTTAGATAGATTTGGGACTAAGGGATTGTATAAATTAAGATTAAGCAAGTGATTTCAGCATATTCCAATAGCACTTCTTAAATTTAAGGATCTTTTTAGATAATTGTAATTTTAAAAGCCTCAGAAAAGTAAAACAAGAATCAGCATTTTCCATCATGTAACTGGGCCTGATTTGCTTAGGTTCAGCTATGCCTGCAGCAATTTACAAAACAATTTCTCTAAAGCCTTCAAAAATGGCTTGTACTTGTTTTTAATCAGTTTTATGGTGCAAAGTAGGTTTGTAATTATTTCCTTAGTTTTTTTCAGATACAGAATTGCTCTTTTTTGCTCTAGATATTTGACACTTCACTAATTTCAGTACTGACATTGCAATGCTTGTCTGCTTATTTTTGATCACCTTAGAATTGAGGGGTCAACTATTAATTGTAATCCATAGAATATGAAATACTCGTATAGGAAGACCATGTAGGCTGTAAAAACTTCTGAGACTCTTTTCTTGGACCTATTTTTTTCCCACTTATTTTACTCATGTTGACTTTACCTTGTGAACAGCCTTGATCCTAGATTTAAAAAAAAAAAAAAAAAGGCTTAATCTGTGTTAGCAGCATTTGTTGCCCTCTTTTTCAATTCTTCTGTGCATGATGTTGTTTGTGTACTTTCATAGCATCTTTAGTTTGTCGAACTAATAAATACAAAATTTTTTTTCTTCTCCTCCCCCCCACCTCCCCGCTTTTCAAATTGACTAGCCACAACGGGGCCCCAGTTTGTGAGTGGAGTAATTGTGAAGATCATTAGCACTGAGCCCCTGCCGGGCAGGAAGCAGATCAAGGTAATGCCTTTGTAACCTCAGGGTAACTGTTAGCCTTTCCTCTTACAGTGCCCCCCAAATGTTTGAATATGGAATACCATTTAAACAAGTCTTACTGATTTCTTTTTTATTGGTTTAGCCAGTAGCTGTGTACAGATTCTTCTCTAGTACCTGTTAATGGCAGATTTTACAATGGCAAAATAGGGTAAAAAGGATGTTTCAAAGCGAAAATTAGCCGCTAGAGTGCTTCAACCAATGTCAAGTTTATAATGAAAGCAGTGACAAAAATAAATAATGCTGTAGAGGATGGGTAGCTCTTTCCAGTTTGAAAAGAGAAGTCGAAGACAAAGTGGGTGCAGTGTTCTGTATTTGTCATTGTGCCAGTCACTCTGGCACAATTCAGATCAAGAAATCTGTAATAGTATATTGGGGGTGTTATCATTAATAGGAATTTAGGGGCAAGAAAATGCTCTCTGCATTAGGAAATAATTGTCTTTTTTTTTCCAATAAGAAATGTCACAATTCCAAAATCTCCAGTTCAGTGAGAGACTCATTCACCCATTTCCTTTTTTTTCCTCAATTAAAAAAAAATAAAATGTTTAACTTAAATTTTATTTCATGTCATTATATGCAAGTCACACAAGTAGAATATATTATTTTAAGGAAAATAGTAGTTTTAAGGTGCATCCTATGAAATGGCAATATTAAGTTTTCCAAAGCGAATAACAGGCTTTTTCCAGATACTGAATTTTCCATGAATGTGACCCAGCACGTTTTCTTTCACAAACTGCACTTTTGGATGAATAACAACTGGAAAGAATTTAAACAACTTTAACTCACGTTGGAATAAATATTCAGGGCACTTCGGACAATGAGAGGATGGTTCAAAATGGGAGTTCTGGGATGACTTACCAAACTCCCTGTATTTATAGCTGAGTAGTCCATTTGAAGTCACTGGCTGCTTGCAAGTGTTTGAAGTTTAGTGCGTGCATAAATAAATCTAAGCAAGATGAGAGATGTCTCTCTCATGGAAAACAAACTGATGATAGGGTTTCAACTTAATCAGTCTTATCAGCCTAGGTATATTTGTAGGCAGTTGTCTGAGTGCTGGAGACAAGGAGAGAATGTGGTGGTAGTCACTGCAACCTTTAAGGGCCCCTTTGCCTGCAGTGTACACCTTACTGTCTTAAGTTTGTGTCACAACTTCACATATTGTGGTCAGGAGGTAAGCAGACTGCTCCCACAGCAGCTGGAGATAAACATAGTTTGATATGTATTTTACAACTTTTGGTTTAGTTTTAGGGAAAACTAATGTTTTATGAAAGTAAAGGGGGACAAAATAAGGTAGGGGTGTCCTGTGCCATTATTGATCATATCGTTGTCCCCATAATAAGTACCTAGGCAAAATATTTCACAAAATGCTAGCAAACAATTGAGACAAGGTTTTTAGAGAGACATGTAATTGTGGAATCCAACTGTAGTTGGAAGAAACAATAACATTCAGAGTACACCAGCTCTTCTGCAGGTCAGCACTGGAAGCTGCAAACTGTATTTGATGCTTACTAGATTTTCCTGGCTGTACAAGTTGCTTTTCTGAAAGGCATAACTCTTTGACAAAACTTTCCTTTGTGAAGTCCAGTTCCTGGACTGTCAAAGCTTCAGCAAACACTACCACAAAGCAATGCATGTAGGGTTTTTTTTTTCTTCTTAATAAGCTTCTGGAATTGATCTGTATTTCTGATTTTTGTCAGGCTTAGTTACTTCCACACACTGTAAAGGTCTATGCAGAGTGGTTTTAGTATTGTTTTGATATTTTAATTTTTTACTTCACTACTGTGATGTTTTGCTATTAAGGCACTTCTCAGATCATAATATTTGCCAACTCCAGTAAGCTGTTTGGGGAGTTTTAGTTTTCCATGTAGGCATGACTTTGGGATACCAGAGTAAAGAGTGGAAAGTAGCTTTCCTCGGCACTCAAATGATCTCTACAGTACTGGCACTTAAGCTTTGTTTTAAGGCTGTCCTTGGTAGTGGAGGGTTAAAAGCAGTGTGTAATTCTTGAATAGAAGCATCTTACTTGAGCTGCCCGCTGTGAACAAAATTGACTAGGAATGTGTGGTCTTAGTTAATTTTCCTAACAGCAGGTATTACAAGTGAAGTACTTCGTCTGAAAGACCATGTGTGACTCTTCTTCCTTCAGCTCTTAGTGCAAATGTTCAGGCAGAGATCACTCCATAAAGACAGGAAGGATTGTTTTACTACTACTCATTTCTCAAACAATCTGTCATGAATGAAATTGCTTTTATATAATTCATGCATAGAATGAAGTTAGGTATTTTTCTGTTGGATAGACATATATTAATGTTACAGTACACAAATTAGTTTTCTTTTTTAAAAATGTCCATACAGATATAGTATTGAAATAAATGGATAATTACTGATGCAAAAAATTAACATCTTCAGGAATTACTGTTTTAAATTGTTCTTGGATGGCACAATGGGAGATAAATAAGTGTTGTAGGCTCATAAATCAGAATTCAGATGTAACCTTCTTAGGAAAATATATTAATTCAAAACTATTTGACAAGAGATTCATTAATTAAATGAAAGACTTTGGTTCCTGCCTTCTACTTCATGACCTTTTTGAAAATGTCAGTGACCTACAAATTGAATGGTCGAAAAGTCACTCTTTTTCTTTTCGTATTTTAAAGTCTTGTTTATGGTCTGTGTTCTCTCACATGCTTTGGTAGAATGCTTTGGCAGTGCTGGCTCATGTTGCTTACGTTGACATGCTGGAGGGAGACACAGAGTGTCATGTCCGTTTTAATACTCCTGAGGATGCACAGACTGTTGTGAAATCGTACAAAGAAATACAGATCAAAAACAACTGGAAATTCGAAGTTCTCACTGGTAAGACTTCTTTTTTATTTTTTTAATGGTAGTACAGGAGTAGACTCAAGTACTTAGAGAGAGTGTCACATAGTAGCTTAATAGATATATTCGGATAGCTTGGTTGGAGAAAAGTGCCTCTTGGTTTTTTGTCTGAGATTCATCTTATTTTGATATTGTAGTGAAATAGGTAAAATGATAAGGATTTTTATGCCACTGTTTGGAGTAAAAGAATGATTTTCCTTGTCTTTATCAACTTAATTATGTTATTTTTAAATTGATTTATTTATGCCACTTCTAGTGGCAATAGACTGTAGAACGTAATTCGTAGTTCAGCTCTATGAATATAACATTCTGATGATGCAAAATCATTTCAAATGACGTTTTTCTTGAAAATACTGTACTTATATGTGAAATTACAGGACAAGAATGTAACAGCATGGATACACTTAGACAGGTTTTAGCGCTTGCCTTCTAATTAATCTTTCTTTTTTTCAGGAACTTGAATAACTTATGCCAGAGTACTACCTCTTTTGAATAGTACTTACACTAAAATTTTTACTGCTTTACTTTGGAACTTTGTCCTTATGTGGGTTTTTTTTTTTTCTGTAATTACTCTGCTCTTCTAAATTTGTATCTTATATTAGATTGGACTAGTTTTCCAGGTGTAGAGAAACCTGCTTATGCAAGTGAAGGTATAAGGAGGGGAGCTTTGTTACTCTATTCATAAAACTTTTAAATTCTAGACATGCACTAAAAATCTCAAATGCACAACCCCCCCAGATAAAATAATACAGATGAGATTCTGTCACTTGCATGTTTAAATACTTTACCACACTCCTGCACAGACCCTCACATAGGGCCCAGTTCCATGCATGCAGGGATGTAAACCTTCATAAACATCAATTAAGGATTGCAGAAGGAAGAGCTATAATAGAAGCATTAACCTTCAAAGTATCAAAGTTAATTAGAGACTAACTGAATGCTGCTAATGGCATTTGGAGATGGATTTGTCTCGAGTGTTCTATGTTCCAGAGATTCAGAAACAACTTGAAATAAGGCATTTTACAGGTGTGTGCCCTGTGTGTATTAGTGTCTGGTTTTGTATCCTTATATAAGAGTGTAGTAGTAGATTGGGAGTGAATAGGACACTGTAGAAGCAATCCGTTTGTAGTCTTTAAGGTTTTGGTTTTTTTTGTTTTTCAAACTGGCTCATTGAAATGAGAATGGAAAGGCTTCTGAAGAATGCTCAGCTGACTCACACTAAGGATTTCAGCTTTTCTTGGTTGCATGAGGTGAATACGGAGAATACAGGAAGAATCTTTAATGCTGTCTACTCTAGGGACTAAAGCTTTCCCAGTAATATTTTACTTCTTACAACTTTGCCTAAATGTTTTCAGCTTTCCATCTGACAAGATGTTAAGCATCTATGGTAATGCTTAAATGTTAGTGTATGTATAAATAATGCTGGTTGAAAGTATGCAAAATTGCTGTTTCTAATTCTAATTACTAATTCCATAACTTTTGCGGGAATCTTTTCCGAGATCACTTGGAAATTTCCCTGTAACTGGAGATTTCCCATGGGACTGTGCACCATTACATCACAAAATTCCCATCATAGTAGTTACAGCACAAGCCAGATGAAACAGTGGCAAACTGCTTCCTCCTGCAAAGCAGCAGCTGAAAAAAGCTGCAAAATTATTTACTCTCATGTTCCTCCCCATGTTAAAGTATTCCTAACTGCCCATGAAGTCCCCAGAGTTTGCTTCTAACAATGGCTGTACTGAAACAAAATAATCTCAGTCATTCTTACCGTATTTTTTTTTCCCTGTTTGGTAGTAGTTTAAAATTAGTCAGAGGTTGAATACATCAGTAAATCAAAAGGCCTAAGTGCTACGGTGAAACTTTAGCTAAAACTGAGCTCCTTCTTCTAATTACATGTAGCGAGTGGTGTTTGTATTTTTCCTTAGTTCTTGTTAAGTTTGTAAAACTCCCTGCTCAGGAAAACTTAGTCACATACCTTGGCAATCCTGTCTTAAAAAATAATAAAATGCATAGGACTTTGCTTCAAGTGCTGTCTAGCTCATACGGAACTGAGACCTCAGTGTCAGCTTGAAGCTTCTTGGGATGGAGTTTTTCTTTTCTTTGTTCAACTTGGTGTTTGTTGGTGAGATACTGCAATGCCTTCTTTGACTATGACATTTAAGACTGATGGGGAAATACTTGTTAGGTTTCCCACACAGGTATTTTCACATGTGTTTATCTTAGAAAAGATTCTTCCTCGTCAGAGCTGAAAAAACTACTTCCACTTATGTTATACTTTTATCCATGTACTGCAATGTTAATTTCTTTTTCAAGGTGATAATGAACAGCGTTACTGGCAGAAGATTCTAGTGGACAGACAAGCTAAACTTAACCAGCCTCGAGAGAAGAAGCGGGGTACTGAGAAGGTAATTTGCAAGTTTTTCTCCTGTACAGCCATGGTTGAAAATATGGCTTTGTTTCTCTGTAGGTCTACAGTTCTTGATACTTTAACTTTTGGCTCTGTATTTAATCCAGTAAAATCACTTTCTACTGACTTTGCAGCAGGGTTTTAAAGCCACAAAACAGACTGTGTGACTGTCCCAGTCCAGTTGCCAAATGCAAGGCTTGTCTTTATGGAGACAATCAGAGAAAGTTAAGTCCATGACTGAAGGCATGAAGTTAATTTGTAAGCTGGTTTTGCTTTAGAAAACTGTCTGTATGAATTCATTAAAAGTTAAGTAGTCTTGATTTGCTCTCGTGTGATAAACTCTAGTGCCTTTGTCTTCATACTCTAGTATGATTTAAAAATATATTTTTCTTCAGAATGAATCTCTCTTCTCACAATTTCTTTTTTTTTTTTAGTGCACAGTTCTGTGCTGTGATGCAGGCTGGTTTGTTCCTAGTGTAGTCAAGAGCCTGTGCACCAGTGTGTCTGTGTCCTGATCGAGACAAATCTGAATGGCACCATGAGCATCCATAGCTAAGCAGCTTCCAGACCAAAACTGCCTCACATCTAGGGAAATTTCCTTCCAACCTTGACCTCAGTGCCCCTGTGAGGCCACAGGGTTGATGGAGTGTTGCAATGAACTTGCAGGCTGCAGTCTCCACTCCTGCCCCAGAAGATCCTTCCAGGCATGAAGGGTTCTTCATTAAGCCAGTCAGATCCTTTACCTGACAGAGAGGAGCCAGAGGGTATTTCACAGACATTTTATTGCTGGGTTTACTTCACACACATTGCAGATAAGGTTTCTGAGTTGACTTTAACCTGATTCTTTATGCTGTTGCTTGCAAAACTTCAGAATCATTTGACCTTAATTACTTTCTGGTGACTTTGGAGACTTACTGTCATTTTTGTTTGCTAGACTTGCCAGTGATGCACACAATACCAAAAATGTCCTAGTTGCTCTATATATAATGAAAAAGAAATACTACATTGCCCTAACAAACCAGCAGTTGTGCGGGTCAAAACCTTGTCTTGTACAAGGCATATTTTGCAGGTATTGTCTTGGTAGTCTAAATGTTCTTTCAGAGATCCAGCCAACACATGAATTTGGTCCTTTTAAACAAAGATGTCTATAAAGAATTTCCCGAAGCGACTGATCTAATTTTATTAAAAGCATAACAATTACGTTGGCTCTAGCCATTATTCTTATATATAAGCAGTAAGGTCACATGAAACCTGTACAGCTTTAAAGCCTTTTACTGAGTGCTGCCACGTTTTTTCTTTTTTTTTTAATGTACTTTTACTTTTTTAAACAAAAGGTGCGGGTGGCACCTTTGACTTTACTTTGGACTGTAGGTGCCCTGCTCTCAAGTTTCTGCTTTACCTTTTGAAGATTGGTATTTGTTGACCAAACTGGTGTAAATTGGCCAGTAATGTACCTCATCTAGGCTTGCAAATATAAACTGTCTCGGTTCTGCCTAACAATAGCAGCAGCAAGGATGCAAACTCCCACTCCTCCCCCTTACCCATCACCTTGCAACACTGGGAGGTGTTAACTTCAAAGCTCAGTGAATACTATTTAAATGCTAACACTGTTAAGCAAAACATCAAGTAAAGAATGCCTCTCTGTAGTCAATGATGCTTAACCCTTTCACTACTTTTTGGCTGTCTGTATCCCAGAAATATAGGCTGATAATAAGGAAAAGTGTTTCCTTCTCTTTTCATTAATACTAATTTTAACCTTTTAGTTGAAAACTCTTCTCTTGTAAGAGTACTCACAGGTTGACTTATTTGAAGGTCACAATAAAAGGAAGGGAAAAAAAAGTAATATAATGATTCATAATTGAACATGTACAGCTGAATATGCTGTTAGTGTATCTTTCTTGTAACAATGTATGCTGTCAAAGGTTTTAAAATCGTGTACAAGATCTCTTTGAACGTGAGCATCTGCCTATTAGCTGTTTTATACTTAAAATATAGACAGCATCTTAGACTTTCCTTTGATTAGCGTTTAAATGTAGGCTTAAGAGTTACATTCATGTAAGCTGTGTAGCTGCAGTGATGTCAGTGTGAGTATTTATAGCAATAGTGAACATATATAGTGCTGCATGGACCGCATCACATTACAGAGATGCTTTAGAGTGTAACTTTAGGCAGTTTGAGATTACTCTTTCCCATGTGTTCTAAAAAGTATAGCCTTACTCAGCTTTTGTGCAATGGGTGCTATGGTGTGCTAGGGCAAGGATTAATGGTCGCTTCAGCAGAGGGTTTCTGGTGTAATGCCTCCCCTCCAGGGAAAAATAAAAAAAAGAAAAAAGTGGTAGAGATTTTTACTTTCTCTGACATAGTTCTTAGAGTAAACTAAATGTCCAAAAAGACTAGATATCAAGGTTCCCCAGAGCTTGTGAATAATGCCTAGCCATCCTTGGGAGTTAAAAAGGTGTTCAGTGCTGGGTCTTTGCCCCAGGCTGGGTCGTTCATTGTCACCTCTCTCCTCCCCTCTGCTCCCCCTTCCAAATCCATGTTCTCTTTAGTCTGCTCAACTGCATGAGAAAGCAACTGTAGTGATTTAGTGATACCGACTAAAAACCTTCTTGCCACAACCCGTTTCTCTGGGGCAGTACCAATTTATGCAGACCTAAAGCAATTCATCAGTCTGTAGCCTTAAACCCTCTGGACTGATTAAAGTCTTCTGTTCACAGAGCAAAAGTGTTAGTGCCTGCAGGCTTTCCATTTGGGTCCTTGTCTTCTCGGGGGAGGTGCTGCTGAGCCCAGTTTACACCCTGTAGACCCCCTTCCACTGAAGGAAAGGAGGAAGTTTAAGAGGGTGGGAGTGATGGTAGAAGTGAAAGGCATTTGGTGAGGAAGTGAGAATTGGGTATTTGCGAAGGGCGGAATAATTTGCAGGATATATGGGAAGGGAGGATAGTGGGAATGCCTGGGCACAGCCCACCTTATTCTCTTCTGATTATGACTGGGGGCCCAGGGCTGTGTCCTTGCAAGACTGACCAGTTACTGTTCTGTGTGCTGGTGGGGAGAGCTCCCACTCCAGAGCACAAATAAGCCCCTTTCCCTGGTTCTCTGAAGTTTGTGTCTGTGGAAGGGCTGGATACCTGTTGGGAGACATGAATAGTGGTGTACTTAGAAATAGGTGCTGGTACTGAATTGATTAGCTCCAAATGGGAATCCTTGAGGCTTCTTGGAAATTCTGAGGTGCTGGTATAGAAGCACTCACTGGTATGAACTGGGCAGCTCACATCTTAGAGCTTTCCTTGTGATTCTCCATCCCACATGTTGAACGAATAAACCATTGTACTAGTCACCTTTACTCTCTGGTATGTGATAAATGGATTAGAAGAGTTAAACTCTAAAAAGAACTCTTAGTTACCTCTTTAGATCAGTTTTATTTCTGGAGAATGGTTGAGAAAGTCATCTACCAGAACTTATTGCCTGGCACTGTTGAGAGCATGTTAAAGATTGTAATCAAGTTAAATGTCCCAGGGATGCAGGGGACATATCAGTAAAACTGTGGTAGTGTAGTTGTATTGCAGCACAGCAAACAGTGTACATCAGTGTACATCAGTCTACACATCAGTGTAGACTGTAATTCCTGGCTGCCCCATAATCAATGCAGCAGCCTACCCCTGTACTTCAATCCTGTGAACAAGATGCAATGTCTGCAGGACATAACCACGACCACAGTCATGTGAATAAATAGTAAATAACTTGATTTAAATGTGAAACTTTTCAAATCTAGCAAACTCCTTACTGGTCTGTCTGGTGAGCAAGTGTCCCTTCAGCAGCAGCTAATATGTTTTAGTCGTCTCCATCAGATAAGTTAAAGTGGGTTTATGCTGGTGTGTTACAGATGTCCCTAGGCTGACAGGAGTTTCCTGCTTTCTCACTTTTTATTCAGATTAGGCAGCCTACTTGTTCTTTGCTGCTCCTTTTTTTTTTTTTTTGGTGGGTTTGTGGGGTTTTTTTCTGTCTTATTCATGTAACAGTTAACTAGTGAGCTCTAGCTTATGGTTAAGGAATCTTCATGGGGCATTGCTTTTGGGCATTAGTATGACGTGATTGTAGTACTGTGCATTAATCTGTGAATGTTCTACTATGGCTGCTTCAAAACCAAGTATGCTTTTGTGTTGTTCACAATATTTTGTTTTCTGCCTGAAGACACAATATACAAATTGAAAATTAGCAGGTTATTTGTGTTCTGCAGGAACATTTCTCATACTTCTCTGTGCCAGGAGCAGAGAATGAGGTACCCTAGTAATTTAAGCTATCTCCCTAAAATGTAACTGAAAACAAACAAATCCCTGGTCAGACAGGGTTTTGAGTTAGGGATTCCTAGGGTGACTGTTCCTCCAAACTGCACTGTTATTTCTTGAGATTAATTCTCAGCAGGGTTGTGATAGAAATTGTGCTGTTTTGCCAGCCTGAAGGATGGCCCCCATCTGGATTTGTGTTGTGTTTTGTTTTTTTCTTTGCTGAGTATAGAAAATGACACAATAGTCCTAAGGCATTTTTTAATGGTCTGACCTTGTTTTTCTTACATCAGTAGCAGCATGAATCCAATGAAAGGGTAGGTTTTTTTAACTTACTGTGTGAGACGATATTTTGGGATTTTTGAAGTTGTAAATTTGCTCTCTTCAGCCGTCTTGGGAGGAAGAAGGGATGGAATGAAGGATGCTGCACTGTGCAGAGATTGAAGAGAAGCCTTACTATTTTTGATGGTTCTGAGGCAATACTGAAATAAACTATATCAGGACTGCTTCAACTTTTTTTGGTTGAATGTTCAGGTTAGCTCAGCTGTTAAAAGATCAGATTTTTTTTTTTAATTAAGTTTGGTAAATCAGTGAATAATATGCTCATGACTGAGAGAGAAAATCATAACAATATAACTTTCCTCTAATCTTTTCTGCAATTTTTTCCTGTTTGCAGTTGATTGCTAAAGCTGAAAGAATGAGACTTGAAAAGACTCAACAAACAAGTAAACATATTCGCTTCACTGACGATAACTAATCAAAACTGATTGTGATCTTGAAAGTGAACTGGGTATTTAAAAAACAAAACCGAGCCCCACAAACACCGCTGCTTCCAGCAACTAAACAGTTCTTAAGAAGGCATCAAGACCTGGTCCGTTTGATTCATAACTCCACAGACTGCAAGTATGAAGATTGTTTTGAATCCCATTTTTAAATAGGCTGAATGTTTACTGCTTCTGAGCCGTTAGATAAAGCTTTCTGGGAAAAAAAAATGTATTAAGAGATTTTTGCTTTATTTCACTTCTGGTTTCTTTTTTTTTTTGTATGTTTTATACACTAGGTTATGAAATAAAATGCTTGAGAAACTTTCAATTGTGCATCTCCAATTCTTCAGTCTGCTTTATGACACTGTAAATAATAAAAATTATAAATGCTAAATAAACCTCTCTAGGCCTCTGTAGTCCATCACACTGTTCAAAAATACAGTAGAATTACTATGCAGTCGTCCATGTATTTTAAAGTGGCTAGGACTGTCTGAAAAATCTGACATTGAGAAGTCTGGAAGAAAATTTACTTGCATGAAGTGCACACTAAACTGAATTTAGACTCTCTCTTTTTAGAAGAATCTTTGGAGGAAGAAATACGAAAACCTTTGTTACATCTGATAACTGTAGCTCCAGAAGTAATTCTCACTTACAGATAAGTGTTAAAGTTGTGAGGTTCACAAGTTAAGATGGTGATGTTAATGTGCTTTAAAGTATTTCATTGTATACTGGCAATATTTTTTTTTTTTAAAAAAAAGCCCTAACCATAAAATTGGAATAGTATAAATGATTGAACTTCTGTATGACTGAGTCTACTGATAAAGATCTCTCCATTAATGTAAAGATAAATTCATGTTTTTGTGAGATTGTTTTAGTGAATTCTGTTGCAGGGCAAGTAAGATGCTAACACATTGGTTTATAAAAGTGTGAAACTTCCATATAAATAGAAGGATGAGCAAGTTATTTTGAAACTAGAAATGCATCCCTAAAAATAACATCGGTCTCGTGCATGGAGCTGTCAATGACACTCTGGGCGTTTCTGTGGCTGTAATTTTTGCTGAGAAGATAAGTTAACATTTCAAAATTCTATGCTACCAGATTACTGGAGCAGTCTGGGTATTGTAATGATACATATTGTAACAAAACAATGTTTGGTGGTACTGGTATATTTTTGCTATCTAAGAAAAGAATATTCATTATCTCTGCTGAATTATTTTAGGTAGTGTGGGTGTAATACCCACAGTGGCTTTGCAGGGAGGTAAAAAACAAAAATAAACCAAAACCAACCAAACAAAAATTTTTCAAGAGATTATACCAAAGCATTTGAACTGTAATGAAACTGTCCAAGGTAGAATAGTGTAGAGAAGCAGCGCGGTAAGAGCGGAGGAATGTTTATGGAGCACCATTTACGTGCCACTACTCGTGATGCGGCCTCATGCAGCAGCGGTGGGAACTGTGTATGTGCACAGTCCATAGGCTCAGGTACCACCAGCGTCTGGCTCCATCCTTCCCTTTGCTCCCAGGAGACTCGGATTAGCATCTGAGCCACCGGTAGACGGCATCCTTCTCCTGGGGCCGTGAGTGAGGAAAGGGAGAGGATTGCCACCAATCGATGGAGAGGGTATAGCAGTGATCAAAAAGAAGGTAGCAGAAATACAGA